TGATTCTTCGCCCAAGCTACCTGGGGGCTGTTCGACGCGCTGGTCTCCTGATGTCCCCACAGGAGGGTGCCACCCGAGTCTTTGCGCATGTCTACATGTAAAGGTGTATGGCTTCTGAGTAGGTTTCTTCTGAGGTTTTAACCGCATTTCACGAGGGCCGGCAACCCAAACCGTTACTTGAGGGTTGGGTTGTTGAGAGATTTCCCTGAACCCCCACGCCCAACAAAATGGCAGCGTTTCAGCAGGCCTTGTGACAGGCAGCGTGGCCGGCGCCGCACCCAGGACGAACGCCTTGCCAAACCCTACACCCTCTTGTGCAGCCCTATAAACCCTGAACCCTTTTGCCAGCATAAACCCTACACCCTACACCCTAGAACTGGGGTTTAGGGTTTAGGGTTTAGACATTTAAGCGTAGGCTTGGGGCCTTTGGCCGCTCGCCAAGAAAGCAAGAATCGCACGCGGCTACGGTTTGAGATCAGAAGACGCCAAATCCTGCGTTTTTGGTTTTCGGGTTTAGGGTCCGGGGTTTGCCCGAAACCCCCTAAACCCTCTCTCTCTTTCTCTCTCTCTCTCTCTCTCTCTCTCTCTCACAGGCAAAACCCTAAACCCTAAAACCTAAACCCTAAACCCTGAATTGTAGGACTTAGGGTCGCGAATTTAACTCGACTATACTATTACACTTCCATAAGCCGTGGGAAACCTGCAGCCTCCAGTGCTCCACAGCTTCTTGAGCTGGAAGGTGTAGGGTTTAGGGTTTAGGGTGTAGGGTTTAGGGTTTAGGGCTTAGGGTGTAGGGTTTAGGGTTTAGGGGTTAGGGGCTGGGATGGGAGGGAAGTCCGTTTCAAGCCGCCACCTCGGTGAGAATCGCCATGGCAAGCAACCAAAGCTTCTACAAGGGAGGCTGCCAGGTTTAAGCTCACAAACCCTAAGCCCTAAACCCTAAACCCTAAACATGATACTAGATCCTAAACCCTTTTTGACCCAAGACTCAGAGAATACACCCCTAGACCCGAAACATTGCGCAACAATGAGAAGCTCTCTGCATAAAGCTCAAGTGCACGGGAATTCATACGGCGGGCATAGGGCACCTGAATTCATACGGCGGGCATAGGGCACCTGCGAAGAAAAGAAATGGCTCCCAGCAGAGATGTGCGATTGAGCAGGCGGCCGCTGTTCTAGGGAATAATGCACCAGACCCAGACGGGCTATTAGGCGCCATAATCCCCATAATCTACCCGATAAAGGGCCATGTTTAGGAGTTAGAATAGCCAATCCTGGTACCCCAAACTTATACCTCTTAATTAACCTATAAAAGGAGAATATAAGGGAGTCAAATTCTCATACCCCTCAGTATGTTAAGGGTATGCGGTATGTTGAATATTTCTTTGACATGTCAACAGCACCAAAGACCAAGCGGCACCCGACATTGAGGTCCAGGCAAACACTCCTCACGGCAAGCATGAATGGAGACTGCAAGTGTCCCTAAACCCTAAACCCTGAACCCTGAACCCTAAACCCTAAACCCTGAACCCTCATTCTTACAAGAAGCTTGCTTGACGCACGCTTCGTATGTGTGCCAGAGGCCCATTCCCCAACCTGCCATGAGCCCACCTAGCTCATCGCGTTAGAGGTTAAACTTGCCCACTGCGTTCTCAGGCTTGGGGTTTAGGGTTTAGGGATTAGGGCTTCTGCAGCACCATCTCCGAAGAGCGAATAGGGCCTTAGGGTTTAGGATTTAGGGTTGATGTGGTACAGACACTCGAACCCAAGAGTAACGTAGGAATAACAGAGGGGTGCCCTTTTGGGGTTCACAGGGGCATCTAAGGGAACCGAAACCCTAAAAGGGGGAGTCGGGGCCTTTTCTGGGTCCTAGGAAAAGATGCCTAACGCCCAAAAAGGGGGAAAGGGGAACTCCGTCGTCCGGCCTCGGGTCTAGCCTTTACCCATACTTGGGGTCTAGGGTTTAATTAGGGTTTAGGCTCTAGGGTTTAGGGTTGACGGCGTGTGTGTGGCCCTTGACAATGTCTGAAGCCAAGGCGCCAGTGCGGGCTGCGTGCGGACCTGCTCCTGTGGGCCAACAGCTCGCGGTTTCGGGGTTTAGGGTTTAGGGTTTAGGGTTTGAGGATCTTCCATACCCCCAAAAAGGGCTTCCTGTTGTGGGCACTCGGGGTTGGATTTTAATCCTCAACCTGCACCCTTTGTCGACCCCAAACCCTAAACCTCAAATTTAAACCCGAAACCCTAACCCTAAACCCTCAACCCTCAACCTTCAACCCTCAGACGCTTTGGCGGGTGAGCCGGTTGTTCTAAAAGATCCTTACAAAGGTGATGGACCATGGCATCAGAGTCCCTTCCAGGGAGGGGGAATGGAACCTCCCTGAGTATGGACATTTTTGTTAGGGTTTGGGGTTAGTAGGGTTTGGGGTTCGGGGTTCGGGGTTTAGGGTTTAGGGTTCAGGGTTTAGGGGAATAATTACTGCTCCCTCCCCCTGAAGCCCTGAACCCCCCGCACCTGCGAGGCAGAGAGGAGAAGGAACCCCGCAGCGCGCGCCACCTCCGCAAAGTTGGTCTAAGCGGGTGCCATCCGAGATCCCGAAGCCCAGAACTTCCTAGGATTGTGATTGAAATCCACGGACGGAGGCAGCCCTAAGCCCTAAACCCTGAAGGTTATGGGTAGTTCTAAGTAGGGTTTATAGGCTTTCGGAAGGTTCACGGGTAGTCCTAGGTAGGGTTAGAAGGGCCCTAAACAAGGGTTATAATGTAGGCTCTCTTCCGTAGAATTCTACCTTTAAATACCCATGAGCCTTCAAGTAGAGCCTTGAGCCCTCAGGCCCCAACCACCCCAAAGAACGAACGCAAACGCCCTGAACCTTCACACCCTTACACGGGGTGTTCAATGGTTCAAAACATGCTTGTAGTAGTATATATACAGTCAAATGTGTTTCTATTCTTTTCTTTGGGGGGGGGATGTTAGATGGTATCCGATTTGGGGGAAATACTCCCCCCCATCTTAACCCTTTTTCACAAGGGACTCGACTGCCCCATCTTAACCCTAAACCCTAAAACCGTACAACCTTAAAACCCTTTTACATCCAGGCCTCTGAAGTCTGCCGGGTAACCTTAAAACCCTAAAACCCTCAACCCTAAACCCCAAACCCTAAAACCTGTTCTTCCGGCCAGGACCCGCGCCCGCATCAACAGCGACCTGTCATCTCTTGGAGCCACCCGGGGAGGAGGGGAGCGGGGGGGGGGGATTTCTGAGCTCTTCTAGCAGGGTTGAGGGTTTAGGGTTTGGGGTTTAGGGTTTAGGGTTTAGGGTTTAGGGTTTGGAGCTTAGGGTCTGCCTAGTGAAGCGCCTTGCCCTGAAGGCAAGGGGCACCCAACCACCTGATCAGCACCTGTGGCTTCAATCTGCTTGAAGGTTCATGGGTTTTCAGCAAGGGGACCTTAAGTTCGGTGCTTGTAGCCCTACTTCTAGATACCCAGCAACCTTCAAAGTAGGTTGCCCGGTAGAACCACTCTTTGAGGACGGTGTCCGAGGAAGCGACTCTCACAGAAGTAAGGCTCCCTACCCTCGAAACACGAATACTATTCTATTACCATATGGGGGCTAACGAAAACGGGGGCCCTTAAAATAGACCCCCGCAATAGTAGGATTCGCTTATAGCAAGGACCCTTATAAGGTACCCCTAATTTCGGCAACCCCCATATGAGACTGTAGTCTTAGCATCCCATCTTTCCAATATGCTCTACTGAGGCCCCCCGGTCTCACAGAGAAACAACTGACGGCCGCTTGAACTCTAAGCTTCTAAAAGCCCTGACGAGGCCTAAAGGCCTAAACCCTAAAGGCTCTTCTGAACCAATTGCCCTGTAAAGACCCTCAATCCACAACCCACAACCCACAACCCTAAACCCTAAACCCGAAACCCTAAACCCTAAACCCCAAACTAAACCCCTAAACCATAGACGATAAACCCTTGCTAACTAAAGAACCCCTGAAGCCCCTAAAACCACCCAGGCCCCCGAGCTCCACTCGCAACTGCGTCCCGCCTTGGCGGAACAGCGTCATGGGTTAAAGTGTGGGGTTTAGGGTTCAGGGTTCAGGGTTCAGGGTTTAGGGTTTAGGGTTTAGGGTTTAGGGTTTAGGGTTTAGGGTTTAGGGTTTAGGGTTTAGGGTTTAGGATAAGTTATCTTGGGCTTCTGAGGCGCGCAGGACTCGGGATTGAGGGCTTCGCAGGACTTCGACTCCCACACTCGGGCGCGCAGGCAAGGCTTCGGACATGGGGTTTAGGGTTTAGGGTTTAGGGTTTAGGGTTTAGGGTTTAGGGTTTAGCGTTTAGGGTTTAGGGTTTAGGGTTTAGGGCCAAAGTTGACAACCCCGATACGGTTTCAGGCTGGGCGGCCGCGCTGCCACTGGGGCTCTGCAAAACCCGACTTCCTTTAAAGAACACACCTTGGGATGTTCCCCCTTCTACTAGCAGCCCTTAATAGGGATTGGAATAGAGGGTACTATAATCCGTAAGACTGGTAGTACCAGGGGGGAACATCCCGGAACATCCCAAAACACACCCTCCGAGCCGTGCAGAGACGGCCTGCTTTCTGGGCACCCGGCGTGTGAAGCCACTCAGCACATCCATGCCTTGAAGCTGAGGCTCCGCTCGGCTTTGGGCAGTTCTCTCATAGTTCAGGTACCCCAGATAGGAACCCTAAATGTCAGTTCCGAAACTGGGGTTCCCCTTTAAAAAAAAAAAAACAACTGTCGCTCAAATCGCACAAAAAATGCCACCCTTCTTTGCCCAGCAACACTTGCTCCACCTGTACCCTTCCTCTGTCTGGTGCAGAGTCCAGGTAAGGCAAGTGCAAGCCCAAGAAGACACCCTTGCAGACTAGACAACTAGACCCGGGAGTAACCTAGGAATAAAAAGGGTACCCTTTTCGGCTTTAAGGGATTAGAAGGGAACCCCAACCCTAAAAAAGGAAAAAAGGGCCTACTCCCGGTCCTAGACAACATGTATCGCCTTCTCAGGGGAGTCTTTCAGCTCGTCGTGCTCTAGTGCGGACGTCTCCGGCAGCAGGTCGACCATGTACAAGTTGCCCACGGTGAAGCTGGCCATGACGACGAAAAAGGGCAGGAAGCCACCCGTCCAGCCGACAATGCATTCATAAACCTATACTCCCCTTAGAACCTTGAGAAAAACACGATTTTCAATACCCTCTTGGGTTTTATACAAACAAAAAAATATTTAAGAAAAACAAAAAATCTCAAGAGGGATACAGAAACCATCGGAGCCACCATAGCTGCACATCGGCCACATGCCAGACAAAGCCCCGAACCCATGGTGCGTGCCTCAGATGGGTAGAGCTCTACAGACATCTGGTAGGCTATGATGAAGGCAATGTTCGGTGTAGACTTGACACCATAGTACCCGATGTAAAGCATTGCCTTCAGAGGTTTGGACTGCTGGTCATGGACGCCAATGATGAAACACAGCAAGAAGCAGGACAAAGCGATGAGGTAGACCTTGAGACCAGTCCGCCTGGGAGCATACATGCCCAGCAACCATCCTACCGCCGTCCCAGGCAGCTCCCACAACGCTCCAACAAGCAGCTGGGAGGCAGCGTGACCATGCATCAGCGTGGGAAGCACTTGTGGAAAAGCAAACAGGCTGCCAAAGTAGATCATGTTCACAGTAAAGCATGTCCCCATCAAGACGAGTGTCGGAACGAAAAGGGACTTATGAAAAACCACCGCCATTTGTCGGCGCATCTGGCTCAGGAGGGATGCATCGGGTTGTCTCACCCGCGGGTGTTTAAAACTCAAACTGCTTGGCATCGTCTGGTTCTGCCGGGCCATGGTCTCTACGACCATCCTCGCTTCCTTGACGCGGCCCTTCTGCGCCAAGAAGATGGGCGACTCATTGAGGAAGGCCATGCTCAGGGCTGTGAGGCAGAGGGAGGGCAGCGCCCCCAGCCGCAGGAGCACGCGCCAGTCCAGCGCCTGCATCGTCACGTCGTCCGTCATGATCACAAAGGAGACATACCTTTGTGGGCCACATGAACCCTAAAAATGGGGCCATACAGCCTATACTACTAGAATTCCTATTAAGGTATATGAGTCTATGAGCCATAAACCCTTTTGGGGTTCATTTCGTCCCCCAGGTACAGCTCCCCAAGCGGGAAGAGGGACGTCGCGGCGGCAGTCATCGCGATTCTCCATTCAGGCGGGGTAACTTCCGAGCTGATTGCAAGCCATGCGGGCTGGCCGATACCGATGAAGAAGCCACCAACAAATCGGATGGCCAGAAACTCGAAGGCAGAAGCACTCACGCAGCTCAAGATTCCGCACAGGAAGATTCCCGAGTACGATGCAATGATCATCTCTCGTCGGCCAAATCGCTGGCTGAAAGGCCCGCTTGAGTAGTTGCCTATGAGAATTCCCAGGTACACTGCAGAGACGATTATACCTTTCATGTACGAAGTCAAGTGCCACTCGCTTTGCAAAGACCTCGTCACCGAACTGACCAGAAGTAGCTCTGCGCCATCCGCAAGCCAAATGCCACCACCCAGGATTCCCCAGAAGATCTGCGCAGGGCCCAAGCCAATTTGATGGATGATGTCCTGCAGCTCGGCTTTGCCGCTTTCTGGAGTCTTCTCTCCAGCGGGTGGGCCTTCAACTTTGGACATGCAAGATGCCTTCGTCCTGGTTATGAAACGCAACCGCCCTTGAAATCTCCGATGCAGCCCAGTAAGGTGCGCTGAGCTCCAGAACGCGATTGTCTATGGGTCCAATACCGGATACCGCAGCCGAAGCGGCTTCGAGCCACAGCCATTCAAAACACTGGGGAGTCCAGGGTTCACGGCTTGGGGATTGGGATGTTCCCCTCTTATACGAACAGTCCTTACAATCCCCAATTAAGGACTGCTAGCATCAGGGGGAACATCCCAACTTAGGGATGTTGAGGGTTTTAGGCTACGTCCCACAGGCCCACAATGGAGGTACATGCTGGGCTCTTAACCAGGAGGCCGAGAAAATCGTGGCAATCACTTTAGGGTTTAGGGTTTAGGGTTTAGGGTTTAGGGTTTAGGGCTTCTCCCGAAATCAATGTGACGGCATTCGGATGTTGAGCACCTGGTGACTAGGCCTCAACACACCCTCAACCCTGCTGTGCAACCCAACCTTTACCGAACAAAAAGCGCCCGCAGCTGAGAGTCAAGCCGAAAAGGCGCGAGAGCTCGCCCGCTCGAGGGAAGATCTCCAAAGCATCGGAGACCTGCAATAGGTTTACGCTTGGAATCTGACGCTTGCGGCTTGGGTTTGGGGGTTGACTGCCTTTCTTGCGGACCTTCAACTTACAAGCTTGGCTTTGTTGGGATTTGGGGAATCTGGTACATTATGTAAGCCCCTGTAAAACACTTTGAGGGAACGTTATTCCCTAATAGACAGCGATTTTTGCTCATACTGGCCTCGCTTTAGCTGCACTGCTTTTCTTCGCGGGTTTTTCTTTTTTGCTGCACCGTGTTTTGTGGTTCTGCTGAGGGGTTCTCACCCCCTCGGTGTGGGGTTGTTACATTTCAAACTGAACTCTTCTCCTCGTCCGGTCTGCTCCTCACCCATCACCCGTGTCCCACCGCAGAATATTTCCAGTGTGTCCCTGGAGTGCCCGACACCAGAGTGAAAAATCAAAAATCTGTAGGGTGGGGATGTTCGAAGTAAAACAGCTTCTTATGCTGGACTTGTTCTTTGTATTTATGCGGCCCCCGGCCTACCCTGAGCCCGAACAACCTGTAGCGCGCTGTGAGCTCCTTACTGCCTTCCTACGGCACCTCAGCTTCTGCAACTCCCTTCTTACTCGGCGCTGGGGGCCCCCTATTTGCGTAAACCCAAATAGTTTGTGCAGCTTCATTTGCTGCGTCCCAGCCATGCGCGCTGTGCGGGCTTAAGGGCTGGAGGCATGCCAGCGACCACTCGCACCACTCAAGCAGCAGCTAGAATCGAAGCATCTGGATTCCTGAGCCATAGACACTCCCAAAGCGAAATCTAAACCCTAATAAACCCTGGACCCCAGAACCCTACAAGCCTAAATCCTGAACCCTAATTAAACCCTAAACCCTATAATAAGCCCTAAGACCCAACCCTACAACCCTAAACCCTAAATCCTACAACCCTCAACCCTACAACCCACAACCCTCCGCCCTAAACCCTAAACCCTAAACCCTAAACCCTAAACCCTAAACCCTAAACCCTAAACCCTAAACCCTAAACCCTAAACCCTAAACCTACACCCCCTAAGCCCTTTAAGACCATTCTGGGCACCTCCAAGGAGAGGTTGGCCAGCGCGGCGGTGTGTTGCAGCAGGGCCTCAGGCGCGCGGGAGGTTTAGGGTTTAGGGTTTAGGGTTTAGGGTTTAGGGTTTAGGGTTTAGGGTTTAGGGTTTAGGGTTTAGGGTTTAGGGTTTAGGGTTTAGGGTTTAGGGTTTAGGGTTTAGGGTTTAGGGATCAGGGTTTAGGGTTGGGGTTTAAGTTTACGGTTTAGGGTTTAGGGTTTAGGGATTAGGGTTTAGTAGCTTGTTGTGACTCCAAGTATAAGGTTTTTAAGTTGTGCTGGGGTTGGGGTGATCCCGGCTTTCCAAACTCGCTCAAAACGTACTTGCTGAATTCCCTGAGCCTTTAAGCAGGCATTTCTACGGAAAGAAAGGCGGGATCGAGATCTCGATGGTTCCGCTGGAGCCAGCAACACGAGCGTTCAGGCAGTTCTCTAACTAGGTTATGGCCCCTTAAATGGGGTACCCCACATGCAAATAGCTCCGTGGGTTCTTGTTCTAGTAACCCTTAAAGGGGGCCCTCAATTTAGAGAAATGGCCATGGGCCGGCTATCAGGTTCCAAGGTTCTTGGGTGGACGTAAGGCTCAGGGACCAAAGCTTAAGGTGGTTGGGTGGGACACCTGGGGACTGCAGCGGTTCTTCTTAACGGTTTAGGGTTTAGGGTTTAGGGTTTAGGGTTTAGGGTTTAAAGAGCATGCCACTGCAGAAGCCTGCCTTCCGTACCCAGGCTCCTCCAACGAAGCCCTCAGGGTAAGGATTTAGAACCTCTAAACCTAAACCCCCCCAAGCCCGGCACGAGGCGAGCTCCCGTGCACCCCTGGTGAAGGGGGCGTGGCTAGGCTGGGGATTCGGGAAGGTTTAGCGGTTTGGGTTTGGGGAAAAAGCGCAAAGCGCTTACCTCCTTCAGGTGATTTGCGGGGGAGTTTTAAAAAGGGAAGGTTCTGAGTTTCAGTCGGCTTGTTCTACGGGCGTGGGTTTTCTCAAGCGCTCAAGCCTGCATAAGCACTGAAATGAGCTGGGCGGCGGGTTTCTTTAGGGCGAAGTAAGAGCACTAAAAAGGGTCTAGTAGCGGCAGGCCTATGTGCAGGAACTGTGCTCTTGAAATATTCCGCACGCAATACCTATACGCTGCACTTTTGCACTTGAGTCTACTCTGCTCTGCCGCGCCCTGCAAAACGTACACCCAGTCGCCCATCGCCAAAACCTAGTACCAGAGCACCTCACTACAGAACACCTGTAGGCCCCCTTTGTTTAGGGTTTAGGGTTTAGGGTTTAGGGTTTAGGGTTTAGGGTTTAGGGTTTAGGGTTTTGAAGATTCTGGGCTCACAGGGCACTTCCACCCACAAGGAAGAAGGAGTTGCCGTAGTTGCAGGGGACGCTTTCCAATTCTAGGGTTTATGGAGTTTTGCTTTGCGTTCTTCTCGGAAGTTTGGGTTGGCAGGATCATGTGTTTAAGTACGCTAATGTATTAGTGTAGCCTTATTATTTTGTATTATAAAATCTTATGCTATACTACTATTCTCTTATTCTCTCAATACAGATTAGTCTATTACATTCTTAGGTTATTAGAGCATGGTTAGAGTTTTGTACGATTATGATTATATGATTACAATGATTACATTCTTAAATATGTGAATACATTCTTGTCGCATTAGGTTCCTAGATCTGTGTTCTACTAAATTATTGTCTTCTTCTATCTTTCAACTAGTCTATTGAAAAAAGAAAAACAGTACATTCTTTGTGCCTTAGACAGCGGTGCAACAAAGTCATGCTTTACGACTGTAGTTGCAATGCTTGACCCACCATTCTTCCGAGTAGTTCTGTCTTCTCCACAGATCCCTTTCCGAAGTACATTAGGGTTTAGGGGTTTAGGGGTTTAGGGGTTTAGGTACCATAGGTGCAAAGGATGGACATGATACGTATCATGCTCCAGCAACTTGTAGCCCGTGTTCACGCTGCTAGCTCAAACCCTGACCTCTAGAGCCATTTTTTGTCAGGGTTTAGGGTTTAGGGTTTAGGGTTTAGGGTTTAGGGTTTAGGGTTTAGGGTTTAGGGTTTAGGGTTTAGGGTTTAGGGTTTAGGGTTTGAACTCTGAACCCTACACGAGCCTTCAGCCAGTGCCGGTCAACCTCGCCAGCGGGGAGGTATGGGAAGCTGCGCCCGAGCCTCAGAGGAAGGCTGGAACCGGATGCTTCAGGGGTTTAGGGTTTAGGGTTTAGGGTTTAGGGTTTAGGGTTTAGGGTTTGGGGTTTAGGGCTTATCGATTCTTTGTTGGGGATTCAGGGTTCGGGCTTAGGGATGCTGAGGGTTTCGGTCTCTCCCTGCACCCTGGTACAGCCTAAATCATGGAACTTAAACTTCGATAGGTTCTGATCCCAACAAGGCCTCTAGATGTCTTCCGAGACCCAAGAGCAACCTGGGAATAAAAAGGGTGCCCTTGTTGGTGCAAAGGGGCTCAGAAGAGAACCTAAACCGCAAAAAAGGGTGAATAAGGGCCTGCTCTTCGTCCTAGTCTTCATGTTTTCGAACCACACAAGGCTTCGGGGTTTAGGGTTTAGGGTTTAGGGTTTAGGGGAGCTGGCCTCGGGCCCCGGCAACTCCTTCGCCGCCTCCTGCAAGGAACATCTCGCATGCTCTAACTTCCAGGAGCCCGAAGGCAAGTTTCGAAGTGTCCTTGAAAGTTTCTTTGTGGGATGGTCCCCCTTATACTAAGAAAGTTCCTTTTTGGGATGGTCCCCCCTATACTAACAGTCCTTAATAGGGATTGTAGTACCCCCAGGACTGATAGCATAAGGGGGAACATCCAAAGTTCGTTTAGACACAATCAGCATCCGCCCGCGGGCTTCCGCAGACCTCCCGGGAAGGCGTTTGTTAGAGCTTCTATGGTTTTTGTTTTTGCTTCCGCAGCGCTTCCGCGAGAGAACGCCACCGTCAATCGTCTGCTGTGGGTTGGGTGCTGCCTCCGAAGTTGCTGTTTGCTGGCATTCTGCTTGCGAAAAGCTGAGGCAGTCCCGAGTGTGAGTATGGAGTAGAAGCCAGGGTTCGTGGACAACTCCAGGCGGAATTGCTGCCTCAGCAACAGCTTCCACAATGAGCCTGCGCTTTCCGCAAGCCTTCTTCGAGTACAGCCTGGTCTCCTGGTCCCAAACCGTCCGCATTGTTTTGTTCGACGCCAGAAGCACTGGAACACAACCGCAAAAGAAAAGAAACAGAATGTAATACTGATAATGCGACTCATCCGTGCATGGGCTGCAGAGGGACTGCGCTTTTGATCCAGGGGGGGTACCCAGCTGGCTACGAAAAAAACACATGAGTTTATGTTTCCAAGGACCTCCTCCACCTGATCCCAACGACTGCCAGAACGTCCAAGCAACCCTAAACCCTAAACCCTAAACCCTAAACCAACAGCTGGACCTGAGCTGTCCTGCGGGGCAAAGCTACGCAACTTGGCTCCGAAGGTGATGTGCATCAGGAGTCGCCAGACCTAGCTTGGAGGCGTGGGTTTAGGGTTTAGGGTTTAGGGTGTAGGGTTTAGGGTGAGATCAAATGATGTTACATGCCCTCAGTCGAGCGAAGCCTCAAGTACCCTGTCAACCGCGAGGGCATCCGGGGGAGCGTGGGCTTTGGCAAATCACATCGCACACCCTAAACCCAAAAAAACCCTATAACCCTAAACTCTTCTGTTTTGGAACCCTAAACCCTGAACCTCAAACCCTAAGCCTAGACCACTTTTCTGCAATCAGCACCCCTCTGAGATGCAACCCTAAACCCTAAACCCTAAACCCTGGGGACCCGGCATTGAGCAGGAGCCGGCCTGGAAGTTGCAAATCGCTGGGGGCGATCATCTCTGACCTTGGACGGGGAAGTTTCGGGCTGATGAATCCTCAAAGCCTCAAGACTTGGTTAGGGTTTAGGGTTTAGGGTTTAGGGTTTAGGGTTTAGGGTTTAGGGTTTAGGGTTTAGGGTTTAGGGTTTAGGGTTTAGGGCTTAGGGCTTAGGGTTTAGGGCTTAGGGCTTAGGGTTTAGGGTTCAGGGTTTAGGCTTCAGGGGTTAGGGTTTCTGGCTTGGGTTTAAGGGTGTGGGACCCTTTTTTTGCAACACGGGCTTTCGAATTGCGAACAGACCCTGAACCCTGCAACCCTCTGGAGCTGTTCAGCCACACCCCGCTTTTGACCCTGGACTCCAAAGACACTATATGAAACTGTTTAAGGTGGCGGGCTGAGGGTTTAGGGTTGAAGGTGGCGGGTTGAGGGTCGGTCTACTTGAAGGTCCATGCACAGCCATAAATGGGGTCATGAACTGAGGTTCTAGTTACCTTTCTTATGACCCTACCTATAACTACAACTTCCCACGAACCTTCAAGTAGGGTTGTCGGGTTCGGGCCCTAAACCCTAAACCCCAAACCCCAAATCCTAAACCCTAAACCCCAAATCCCAAATCCTAACCCCTAAACCCTAAACCCTACATCCTCCTAGCTCGCCCCCCTTCCCCCTTTAGGAGCTGGACTCGTAGGTGCGAGGATCTTGGCCTCAGTGGTCAGTTCAGGTCGAATCGCCTGAAACCTGAGACCTTGAAGCTCAATGGAGTCCCTGCATAGCGGTTTAGGGGTTAGGGTTCAGGGTTTAGGGTTTAGGGTTTAGGGCTTCGGGCTTCGTCGAGACTGTGCGGAGCGAAGGAAGGATCCCCAAACCCCAGAAGCTTTACTTTATTTTTGCATCCAGGCCTCTGCTTCATCTAAACCCCCAAAGCCTACACCCCAAACCCTTTTGCATCCACCCTAAACCCTAAACCTAAACCCTAAACCCTAAACCTAAACCGTAAACCCTTTTGCAACAGGCTTCATACTTCGCCTGGAGTTGGTGCCCCCTGGCAAGACAGCAAGGCCACAACACTAACCTGAAGCGGCCACAAAACCCGGAAAACACGAATGAAGCACCTAAACCCGAAACCCTAAACCCCAAACCCTAAACCCGAAACCCTAAACCCTAAACCGCAGCAACCCCCAATGAACCCGAAGACTCGAAGACCACAGCCAGGCTACCAGGGCCAACCGGCTGTGCGGCGGCTGAGTGCGGCAGCGGCAGCGGCAAGGAGCTGGCCTCAACCCGGGTTTAGGGTTTTAGGTTTAGGGTTTTAGGGTTTAGGGTTTAGGGTTTGGGGTTTAGGAATTGGGGTTTAGGGTTTTAGGGTTGTAGGGTTTTAGGGTTGTAGGGCTTAGGGTTTAGGGTTTAGGGTTTGGGGTTTGGGGTTTAGGGTTTGGGCTTCAGGGTTTTAAGGTTGTAGGGTTTTAGGATTTAGGGGTTTAGGGTTTTAGGGTTTTAGGGTTTAGGGTTTAGGGCTTAGGGCTTAGGGGTTAGGGCTTAGGGCTTAGGGCTTAGGGTTTAGGGTTTAGGGTTTAGGGTTTAGGGTTTAGGGTTTGGGTTTGCGGTTTAGGCTTTAGGGTTTAGTGTTTAGGGTTTCGGGTTTGGGGTTTAGGGAGGTGCGGGGGTCGCGCTCAGTAATACGACCTTCCGAAAGCAAGCCCTTAAGGCACGTGCGCTGCGCATCACATCATGTACTGTAACCTTACAGCTCCACCAATGGGCGATGCCCCGAACTGCACTCGAGAACCCATACTAGAAAATGGATTACCCTAAACCCTAAACCCTAAACCCTAAACCCTAAACCCTAAACCCTAAACCCTAAACCCATGTCATCGGCAGCCGGCAAAAACCTTTTTCACTCGCTGGCTCCGACGCACGGAGTCTGTTGCTACGAGGTTCCTGTCCTATGTCTGGCGGGTTTAGGGTTTAGGGTATAGGGTTTAGGGCTTCGGGTTTAGGATGCTTTTTTCTAGGGGAGAAGCCTTATCCCTAATGCCCTTAGCATCGCCACCACTCTTGCAAGCCGTCCCAAGCATGGGTTTTCCCAGTGTCCACTGCAGCGCTCTCTCCGCGCAGGTGGGTTCCTCGTGTTCGCCCCAATGCTTCAGCTTCAACCTGAAGGGTGTGCGGTTGAGGGCCCAGGGTCGAGGGCCTGGGAGGGTCTAGGGTTTAGGGTTCGTCTGAATATTCATTTCGTGGAGGTTAAGTGGTTTCATAGTTTCTAATCCTTCAGGGGATGAGGAAAGTGAGGCGGCTTGGATGCAAAAAGGCTGCGTCGAAGAATCGGTTCCGTTGAGAAGGTAGGTTTTGGGATGTCTAGGGCTCCCGAAGAATTCCAGGGGATCTGAAAGCCCAAATGACCACCTAACGAGGCCGAAAGGTCATAAGTTGATGGCTGAGGCACCGAGGTTGACAAGACAAGGCTTGGTGGGATATAGTGTGCTGCCAATGAAAAGTCTATACTCCCCTTAGAACCTCAATAAAAGTAATATCCTCTTGGGTTTTATATAAACAAAAATAAAAACCAATTCCCGAGGGGGATATAGAAGTACCCAGATGCCTGAAAAGTCTGCGCCCGCACGGCTCGAAATTGCACGTTGAGGGCCTTCATGCCAGTCCTCCATACCCTCAAGCTTGACATATCAAGGCCAGTATGACAAGCCCACAGGACCTCATGACCGCCAGGGCGGAGCACAGCCGGCGCTCTTCGAAAAGGCCCCGGGCGGAGGAATCCCCGTCTCATGCTCTTGCCTCAGCGGCCTGAGGACAACCGTCGAAGTACTGAACCTTGGCTATACAAGTTTACTGTAGGGTTTAGGGTTTAGGGTTTATGGTTTATGGTTTAGGGTGTAGGGAGGAAAATGTAGTGTCGCCTTTGTGGCCTAACTGGCTTCTAGAAGGCGTCCTAAGCCTAAACCTTAAAGCCTTAAACCTTTTGAGCCAGGAGCTGGGACACATGCCTGGAAGTGAGACTGAAGCGCCATCCTAAACCCTAAACCCTAAGACCCTAAGATCAAACAGGGCAAGCAGGGGGCAACTGGGCATCCTTAGTTGGGCCGAGAGGCTCAGTGCCTGGCGCGGCTCCCGGCTCACAGCGCGGGGCAGGCACTTCCTTCGGAGCCCAGACAGGTCTTGCCTTTGCCTTCGGGCCCTTCGGGCCGTCGCGCTTCCGCTTCGGGGGAGTCCTTGGCGCAGCCTCGGGACTGTGATGGTTTTGTGAAGGGGCAGGCACTTCCTTCGGAGCCCAGACAGGTCTTGCCTTTGCCTTCGGGCCCTTCGGGCCGTCGCGCTTCCGCTTCGGGGGAGTCCTTGGCGCAGCCTCGGGAAAGTGATGGTTTTGTGTAGGGGCAGGCACTTCCTTCGGAGCCCAGACAGGTCTTGCCTTTGCCTTCGGGCCCTTCGGGCCGTCGCGCTTCCGCTTCGGGGGAGTCCTTGGCGCAGCCTCGGGACTGTGATTTTGTGAAGGCGCAGGGATCGGAGGCATTGCAGTGGCATAGACCGAGGAGGGTCGCGGGGCAGCCGAAGCGATGCTCGATGGCCGCGGTGCTTGAGTGGCAGCCGACTGGCGCGCAGCCGCCAAGCGTGCCAAGACGGCTTGCCGGCGTTCTTGGGCTCCCGCTTGCATGTCCAATAGCTGCTGTGCTCTTTCCAGCCTGGAGTGTTCCGTAGAAGTTCCTTCTGGTCGGATTGGTTCTTGGTGTGCTTGCCTTTGAGGGCTGTCATCAGAAAAAAGTGGTTCACCTGAAGCTGAGCTTTCCTCCTCCACTTCCATTTCGCTGTCCTCCGTTCGGCACTCCTCTTCACCGATCTCCTCCGGTGTGTAAGCATCGGCGCTCAGACATATCGGCAAGTCCTCAGCTGAAAGGTGGCTGGAATCTGAAAAAGCATCGTCATCAAAGCCACCGCCGTCTCCGTCATGAAAACCATGGCTCATCGAGTGGAACTGTGCTGCACATGTCTCGTGCCCACTGCGAAGCTGGTTTAGGGTTTAGGGTTTAGGGTTTAGGATTTAGGGTTTAGGGTTTAGGGCTTAGGGCTTAGGGCTTAGGTCGAGGTGACAAGAGGATTCGGGGTGGCAAGCCAGCATATGCCAGCATGGTCTGTGGAAGCCAAGATGTGATGGAATCCATAATATTCCCTCAGTTGCTGAGTTCACCGATTCACAAGCCCCCCAAAAAAGTGTACACTTTCAGTTCTAAAGGGGATTATCATATCCCAAAAAGTGTACACTTTCAGTTCAAAAGGGGATTATCATATCCCAAAAAGTGTAAAGCGTGCTCATTCAGCTACTAAGCTCCTCAATTTTGCCACGAGCCAAGACACAACAGACACAAAGCAACACGTTGCATGAGCATGCCTTGGGATATGTGCCCCCTTATGGTAACCGTCCCAAATAGGGATTCTAGAAGCCCCCATTATCATCCCCGTTCAGGGCTTTCTGTATACCCTTAATCTTATTTCCCTATATATCCCCTATATACCTTATTATACAGTCCCTATATACCCAAGTAGCCCCTAACTAACCCCTGAGGTCCCTTGTAAGGCTCTTTTCGTCCCTTGCTAAACCCTGAACCCTAAACCCTAAACCCTAAACCCTAAACCCTAAACCCTAAACCCTAAACCCTACAGACGTAGTCTTCTGAAGCCTATTGCTTCAAGGCACCCTGAGCCTTTGGCATCTTGAGGTACGCGTGAGAGCTGCTTCCGCAGGTCCTGGAGGTTTGTTGGCTGGGGTTTAGGGTTTAGGGTTTAGGGTTTCGGGTTTGGGGTTTCGGGTTTAGGGTTTAGGGTTAGGGTTTAGGGCTTAGGGTTACGGTTTAGGGTTTCGGGTTTCTTGCTACCCCCCTAGCTGACTGTAGGTTTAGGGTTGATACGGTTTCGGGTTGGGGAGACAATGGATTCTGGCCGGGTCTTCGTGCTTCGACGGACAGTCGACACTTAGCTGGCTGGTGCCAGGTGCCTCACGGCTTCGAGGTTTCATCTTCATCCTTTCCGGGTCTCTCATGCCGGTGAGCCTTAAACCCTAACCAGCCGCGAATGCAAGCCATGAGCCAGAAGCTAGGAGAGGGAAAGGCCAGTTTCATGCACCTCCCACCAAAAAAGGGTTCACAGGGCGCCTTGGCACTGGTCAGGTACGTCCCAAGATCAGGGGTTTAGGGTTTAGGTTTAGGTGTGTACCAACAATCTGCAACTGTCCTCGTTATAGGAACCCTAGAATAAGATGCCCTAAACCTGCTAAACCCTAGACAGCCTGGGGAAACTGTACACGCCTAGACCCTCGAAAGCCCCAAAAAACCCTGTAAACCCCAAACCGCTTAAACCACACAAACCGTATAAGTATAAACCCTATAAACCCTATAAATTTACAGGTGACCCTAAAGCTTGGACCCTAAACCCTAAACCCTAAACCCTAAACCCTAAACCCTAAACCCTAAACCCTAAACCCTAACCCTAAACCCTAAACCCTAAACCCTAAACCCTAAACCCTAAACCCTAAACCCTAAACCCTAAACCCTATCTCAAGCATGCGATTCATGCAAAAGGCACCTCGGCCCCCAACGCCCGCGCCCGCGCGAGGAGGAAGCCCCAGCTACGGCTGCGGAGCTCCCAACCCAGGCAGACCTCGCCGGAATTCTTCGGGTTTAGGGCTTAGGGCTTAGGGCTTCGGGTTTAGGGCTTAGGGCTTAGGGCTTAGGGTTTGGGGTTGAGGGTTTAGGGCTTAGGGCTTAGGGCTTAAGGCTAGGGTTTAGGGTTTAGGGTTTAGGGTTTAGGGTTTAGGGTTTAGGGTTTAGGGTTTAGGGTTTAGGGTTTAGGGTTTAGGGTTTAGGGTTTAGGGTTTAGGGTTTAGGGTTTAGGGTTTAGGGTTTAGGGTTTAGGGTTAGGTTTAGGGTTTAGGGTTTAGGGTTTAGGGTTTAGGGTTTAGGGTTTAGGGTTTAGGGTTTAGGGTTTAGGGTTTAGGGTTTAGGGTTTAGGGTTTAGGGTTTAGGGTTTAGGGTTTAGGGTTTAGGGGCTCGATGTGGGTAGTTGATATCAAGCTACCCGTTCCCAAAATAACCCTAAACCCTAACCCCTGAACCCTATATTTCCTTTGTAAACCCATGCAGTAGGAACCCAAACTAGTTCCCAAGAAGGACCTTTAAAATCACCGCCCATGTAGAGCGGAGGTTTCATCGCCCAGGCAGGCAAGGCACCCATCCGAGTTGAACGAATGTCCACTTTGCAGGGTCTCTCTAGAGGGTTTGCGGTTTGGGGATTGAGGCGATTGTCCCCAAACCCGAAACCCTTTCGTAGCCAAGCGTTGGGTTAATCCCCTCCCCAACCATAACAAATTTTCCTCTTGTAGATACTCATATAGCTCATCCTCAATTTATTTTGAGTGCGGGCTTGAGCTGGTACTCATGCCTGGAAGCAACTCACGGGCAAGGGCTTCATCCGAGCTGCAAGCCCTCAACCCTCATGCCTAAACCCTGAGCCCTAAGCCCTAAACCCTTAACCCCTAAACCCCAAAAACCCTAAACCCCTACACCCCAAACCCCCTAAACCCTAAACCCCTAAACCCTAAACCCCTAAACCCCTAAACCCCTAAACCCCTAAACCCCTAAACCCCTAAACCCCTAAACCCCTAAACCCCTAAACCCCTAAACCCCTAAACCCTAAACCCCTAAACCCCGAAACCCCTAAGCTTATGAACTTGGGCTGCCGGCGTCCGGATCTGCTGAGCGTGTGAGTTCCACTAGGGCCTGGTCCAGGCAAAGGGGAGTCTCCACATGGAAACTTAGGGTTTAGGGTTTAGGGTTTAGGGTTAGGGTTTAGGGTTTAGGGGAACCCTCAACCCCACGTGCCCTCTGAACCCGTAACCTTTCCACCCCACAGCCAAAGACCACTGAGCTCTGAACATTCCTCAAGTCAACAGTCCAGAGAAAGTTACAAAAGAGACCCTACGTTCAGAACAAGCCTGAGCTGAAAAGAACAGTATATTCGGGTCGTGGCTAAAAGGTTTGTCACGGCACGGCCTTCAGAAGCTCGAGCTCGGTCTTGACACAGCGCAGATCAAGAGACTGGCTCTGCTTCCGCAAGCTCTGTTGCCATTCCTCCTGAAAGCAAGAACGTCATCAGAGAGCATCCGAGCCCTAAACCCTAAACCCTAAACCCTAAACCCTAAACCTTAAACCCTAAACCCTAGCAGGCCCCACCCTCTGGGAGCAGGCCCCACACCCTGGGCATGCCCAGCCCTGAGCCACCCAGCCTCTCACCCCAAAAAAAAGGGTTTAGGGTTTAGGGTTTAGGGTTTAGGGTTTAGGGAATGCGTCCTCCTCCATGGGGTCAGAGGCCACCACGATGGCGCCAAGTCGGTCGGGTGGGCGCAGCCTTCGGGTTTAGGGTTTAGGGTTTAGGGTTTAGGGTTTAGGGTTTCGGAAGCCCCAAAAGGAGCCCTCCAGTTAAGCCCCCATGCCCCCTGGGGGTTTTGGTGCTTTAGGGTTTTCGAGGTTTTCCCCCAAACCCCCCGATTCCAACCCCGCCAGTTCCGAAAAAACACACAGCCCCAAAAACCTAGAGCCCGAATAGCATCTGGGGGGGGGGGGGTTCTCTGCACGACGGCCCCTTTTGAGTACCATAAATAGAAAAACTCCGACAAGGTGTAGCAGTTTAAGAGAAAGCTGAGCGAATCCATGGCAACTGTTCCAAGGCACCTCGTAAACCCCTAATCCCCTAAACCCCTAATCCCCTAATCCCCTACACCCTAAACCCTAAACCCCTAAACTCTAAACCCCTAACCGGCACTGCCATCGCCTCCGGCCACCGAGAAGGCAGCCATGTGGGCGCCATGCATAGCCTGGGGACTGCAAGAGCTGAACCCCCGAGTTCAGGGTTTAGGGTTTAGGGTTTAGGGTTTAGGGTTTAGGGTTTAGGGTTTAGGGTTTAGGGTTTAGGGTTTAGGGTTTAGGGTACCTCATACTTCAGGGGTACAGAACCCTACTTGCCCCAATTTCCGGTCCTCACCACGCTCGAGACCAGGCCTTACATGGCATGCCCGCGATCCTTCAAGCATTAGGGTTTAGGGTTTAGGGTTTAGGGTTTAGGGTTTAGGGTTTAGGGTTTAGGGCAGATTCTTGTAGAATGGTCCTGGTGGTGGCAGTCTTTACCATTCGCCCCTGAACCCTAAACCCCTAAACCTCTTTTGCCTAAGCCCCTTTTGGCCCTAAATCCTAACATCCCAAAACTCCTTAACCCCACCGAAACCCTAAAGCGGAAGCGGAAGAAAACCCTGATTCCCTGGGCCACCTAGCCCCCAAAGCCGCCTAACCCCGCAAGCCCTAAACCTAAACTCCAGACTGCTGCTGGTGGCCATCGCGGGCCCATTTTCTCACTGAATCATATTGCTGCCAGCATCTCTCCCGGCAAATGCGGTCATGTCGACCAGAGATACTAAATTGATGCGTTTCTTCGGCTGGCCTGGCGTAGCAGCGTCGACCTATGAATGCTCAACTCATGTGCCAAACAGCCAAAGTCACGAGAACAACGCCATGAGGATGCGATGCGCAGAGCACCTGCGCTGGACCCTTAGCAGCTTTCTCCAGCGGCAGCCCATAGTCCGACTCCACAAGACGATGGGCCTTAGGGCCTTCGGACTAGCATGGCTGTAACCCTAAGTCGGGAGGGCACCAGTGTGCTCCGCTTCGCAGGCGACAGGGGGACCTGACTCGCTTTGAGAACGGCCTTGGGGTTCAGGGTTCAGGGTGTAGGGGTTTGGAGATTTCATGAGAAATTGGGCAGGCTATCGCGAGAGCAAACAGGCGTCGCTGGTACTTGCGCAAAGCCTGCCTACAACCTTCGAACTTGCACAGGAAGCCTTGCACGAGCAAGGGTCCTACATGTACTCTGTTTGGGTGATGTTTTTGGTTCTCGGGCAAGATGTCTTCTTCGACCGCTTGGCAAAGCACGTCCACACCCCAAGCAAGAGTTTGGAGTGATTTCTCAGCCCGTCCGAAGTGGAACTGCTGAACACGCTGCACAGTCCGGGTCATGATTTGCAAGGTCCCCCAGCAACTCGTTCGAAAATCATAAGGGCACCCTAATTCTCCTACTCTTCAGTGTTAGCAAGGAACCTCCCAAAACACATCAATGCACTAACGGAATAAGGGTATTAGGGTTTAGGGTTTAGGGTTTAGGGTTTAGGGTTCTTCTGGGGGGCCAGCATCAAAAAGCGCACATTCGCAGCCCTGACTTTTCGTGGAACTGAACCCTGGCTTTGGGAACATCTTAAAAGAGGAAGCTGCTGTTGCATCCCGCCTTGCTTCAGGAGGGGCTTGGGGTTCAGGGTTGGGGTTTAGGGTTTAGGGTTTAGGGTTTAGGGTTTAGGGTTTAGGGTTCAGGGTTCAGGGTTCAGGGTTTAGGGTTTAGGGATGTTTAGGGTTTAGGGTTTAGGGTTCCAGGAGTCAGGCAAGAGCGGGGAGTGCAACAGAACTGTTTCACCCCCACGTGGAGCAGCACAGTTGTGACAGAGATGGCGGGTCCTGTCGTCTCGACAGCGTCGCAAGCTTCTCTGGAACCATTATCTGCCCCCGGCTGTCGGCATCGAATCCGAAACTCCGGCATTTTTTCAAGCCCTTTCCATGCCAGCAGCTCACATGACCTTGGGCGGCAAATTCCAGAAGAGCACCTTGGCAGCAGCTGTCACGGTTCAGGAGGGGGTGTCTTTTCGTATACTCTTTGGGCCACAGTAAATGTTGCACGTTTGTGAATATCTTCTTGGGTTCCGGGGGATGAGCCAAAATAAGACACATGTCACACAAGTCTCGGGTTCCTTTCCTCCGAAACTCACGACTTTGTAGGCCCGTGCAGCGTGTTCAACGGTGGACTTAAGCTGAGAGGGGGGTCCAGCCCAACTACAGAAGACGAAGGACTCTGTGGGGCCGAAAGCCTCGCCATAAGGGTCTAGAGTCTAGGTTTCGGGTTTAGGGTCTAGGGACTCAGGGTTCAGGGTTCAGGGTTTAGGGCTTTCTTTGCCAGCCTCCCAGCACTTGCGCACACCGTGCGGACTACTTCAGAGGGTCCCAACTTATCAGTTTCCGATCCGGTGTCGCGGGTTAACACCCAAAATCGAGAGTTTAGGGTTTGGGTTTAGGGTGTGGGGCTGAAAAGGGTTAGTAAGCAGGGTTATCAGTAAGGTAGCCTGACTTCAATTAGGGGGCCCTTATGGCTCCACCTAGAGCTAGCGCTGCAGGCGTATGTGGCCGCGCGCGCACGTTTGGAGAAGAGAGGAAAGCATTGTAAATACCGATACAATCGATAGTTGAAGCAAGCATGACACGCGCGTAAAAACATACAATTTTTCTCTAAATTCGGCAGACGTCTCACGTTTTTTTTTCAGAAGAGCCAAGCGTGGTCGTGCTCGTACTGTCCGAAGTGCTTTGGATCGGCTCCGACCTGCCCGGAGCGATCCAAACTGCTCTGGCCAATCGCACGGACGCGTAACACGGACGTAATCATCGTGCGGGCATGGATGCTCTGGCCAATCGCACGCACTGGTAACACGGACGTAATCATCGTGCGGGCATGGATGCTCTGGCCAATCGCACGCACTGGTAACACGGACGTAATCGTCGTGCGGGCATGGATGCTCTGGCCAATCGCACGCACTGGTAACACGGACGTAATCATCGTGCGGGCATGGATGCTCTGGCCAATCGCACGCACTGGTAACACGGACGTAATCATCGTGCGGGCATGGATGCTCTGGCCAATCGCACGCACTGGTAACACGGACGTAATCATCGTGCGTGCATGGATGCTCTGGCCACGGAGGTGTTCGGCGTGTAACACGAGGAAAGGACCGCAAATACCGATGTTTCCGGCGTGCAACACGCGCGAAACACTGTAAAGACCGATGTTGTGGGCCTGTCCCAAAAGGCGAAAAGTGGAGGAGCCGAAAACACCGACGGCAGCGAGGGTTTCGGCATGTGACCTTAAGGAAACACTGTAAATACCGAGGAAATCGGCATGTCGGTTTTGCGCGGTGACATGCGTCTGGAGGGTAGAACTAGCTACCTATGAACCTTCAAGTACAGCTGCAAGCCAGTTCGTGCTGCTTCAGGTACTTACTGTTGCTTAGCAGAGAATGAGGGAGTTAGGAACCCAATATTCTGCCTTAAGAAAAAATTCTATAGGGTACCTCCTTTCACCCCTCTCTATACCCTTGCAGGGATTATATGGGGCACCTCACTCCCCCCCTATATATACCCTTTTTAAGGGATTCTATAGGGTACCTCATCCCCCACTCCTTACTGTACCAACAGCAAGGGCAAGGCAATGAAAGTAGTAGCCCTCAACCGTAAACCCTAAACCCTAAACCCTGCACCCTACTAACAGCAAGGGCACGGCAATGAAGGTGTAGGCCAGCATCAGCAGGTAGCCCTTCAGCCAGTGCGACCGGCCGTCGGACATCAGCACAACCACCAGGAGCACGGAGAAGAAGATCACAGCCTCAGGGTTTGGGGTTTAGGGTTTTAGGGTTTAGGGCCTCAAGACAGCAAACAGAGAGCTTCAACTGAGAAAGAAAAATGCGCCCTGCGAGTGCACTGCGCGGAGGACGCGTAAGAAAGCAAGCCTCCGCAGCCCAGGAGGCATGGCGTTTGCGTGTTTGCTTCTGTGGAGGGGGGGGGGGAGGGGCACCGGGGAGGGGGGGGGGGGGGGGCCTTTTCTGAGAGAGAGTCGAGGCCTCGCTCTTTGATTCTAAACTTGCCGTCGTATTTACTACATCCCTATGACGACAGCTCGGTTTTAAGTCCCCAAACCCCAAACCCCCAACCCGAAACCCTAAATCCTAACAGCCATCCAGGTATGGAAAGAAAAGACTTGACTTATTCAATGTTTAAGCAGTCAAAAGCAAATCCTAAGCCAAGCAACTGTGTTGATCATGCCGAAGTCCAAGGTCATGGGCACATCGAGCCTCGGCCCTAAACCCCTAAACCCAGGAGGTCGGTCGGGCTCGGGGAAACCCCGAACCAGGGTTTAGGGTTTAGGGCTTAGGTTTAGGGTTTAGGGTCTGGGGTTTGGGGTTTAGGGTTGAGGGTTGAGGGTTTAGGGTTTAGGCAACTTAGGTCTTTCTTGACCTGCCTGTTTTAGGGTTTCTTGAGTCTACCAGTAGGCCAGGGTTAGGTGTGTTCAGACCTTTTTTTAAACCCTCTGAAAGATGAACTAATAGAGTCATATGTATATATATATATATAGATTATTTATATACATATAAAGATTCCAAGGTCCTACCAGAAATTTGTGGGGTACTCCTGCACGCCAGGTACAGAACCTGGCTTGTGGACTTAGGGTTTAGGGTGTCTGGCTTTGGCCACCCCCCCATTAGAGTCACTAGGGTGTAGGGTTTAGGGACTGTCCCTCTGTCGCTGTGATGGATTCCGAGATTCCGGGCCCACACGTAAAAGGAGCCGAAGCCCAGCCCCTTCCTTCCAAAAACTGTTCGGGGCCCCGGGCTCACGGGGTGGTCATAGGTTTTCTGTAGGGTCTGTAAAAGGGTTTTTCAAGGCTTACAGGGCTTTCGGAGGGGGGCTTTGGGGTTATCGGTCTCAAGCCTAACCCCTAAACCCTAAACCCTAAACCCTAAACCCTAAACCCTAAACCCCAGGTATTCTTCGAGTCGGCCTTCCGTGGAAGCATGCTGCCCGGCGGCATCCAGCCGACGATGACTGCGAAGGGCACCACGAACAGGGCAACCTGCGTCCTTGATTAGGGTTTAGGGTTTAGGGTTTAGGGTTTAGGGTTTAGGAGTTCAGGGACTTAGGGCTTGTGATGTTGTTGGGTTTTTAGCAGGGTTTGGGGGGTTGGGATGTTCCCCCTTTTACCCACAGTCCTTAACAGGGATTGTGGTACCCTCTATTATAATCCCTGCTAAGGACTGCTAGTATAAGGGGGAACATTCCAGGGTTTAGGGGGTTTTCGGGTTTAGGGTTTGGGGTTTCTATTGCTGCCTAGCAGCCTCACACCGCACTGGACGCATCTCTGAAAATCTAGAACTTGCTGTTGTGTGGGCAGAACCCCCCTAAACCCTCCACCCTAAAAGTTTGGGGGTTTTTGGCGATGCTTACTTTGAGGTTTGGAGCGGACTGTGACTGCCGCGGATGGGTGTCGACTCGAATCGTGGTGATTGACTGCTTGCTGAGTCTCCTGCAGTACGCTTGTTCATGATTGACTGCTGTGTGGTCACCTCTCTGAATGCCGATCCTTTTGAAAATACGATTATAAGGCGGCCCCTAGTACGTAGGGCACCCAAAAAAAAGGGGCCATAATTTTGAAAACTGATCATCTGCTTAGTGCTTGCTGTTTCTCCGTGGGCTTTGCACACACCCGCCCGTCAAGGTTGAGGGCGCTGACTAAGTAAGCCCTAAACCCCAAACGCCAAACCCTAAACCCTAAACCCTAAACCCTCACTGGCCCTAAACCCTTTTTGAGCACGGACTGAGGGGCATGCCGGCAGCTCAGGGGACATGTGTTGACGCTATGCATCACAGATCCACTTCCGAGCACAAACTAGAAGACTAACGACACGCACACCAGTTCAGGTCAGGTGTTGTCCGCACATTTTCCAAGTGCCTGGAGGCGCTGTTGCCTGCGATGACTCCTGTCCTCAACCTTTTTGGCATAAGCCCGTGCCTGCACCTCTTCAAGGGTCATGTGCGGCAACCATGGCATCACAACCGACGACGACACATCACTGCTTGCCTCTGCTGATGACTCGCATCTGGACATAATCCGAGTTGATATGGGTTCGCCAGCGGAATGGCTGAGTTGGGCCACCTGTGCGCTCAAGTTCTCAACCTGCTTCTTCATGCCGTCCATGATGAGCTCAAACTGCGGCCTGCAAACCCTAAACCCTAAACCCGAAACCCTGACTGAGCGCAGCTTTAGGAGGTCTTACACGCATCGTAGCAAAGAGGGACAGACCTGGGCGTCCATACAGTCCATACACCACTATAAAAAGATCCGCATATGGGAACCCCAAACAGGGACCCCAAGAATGTAGGATCATGGGTTCCCCTACTACCTCTATACTACCTCCCCTAGGTTCCCCCCTTAAATGACCTTCATTAGGCTTAGTTATCGCTAAATAGCCCTAATTATGGGGGGAATTTAGGGGGGGTAGTATAGAAAGAGTAGTAGGGGAACCCGTGATAGTAGGAATAAGAACAAAACAGAAGGACCCTGGTAGGTGCACTCCTGTTCTGTTCCTACTATATTCTTGGGGTGTTCTTGTTTGGGGTTCCCATTTAAAGTCCATTTACACTTTTGATACTTGAAGGTTCACGGGTAGTTAGACGTAGGGCTATAGAAGTAAGGCGGTAACCTAGATGAAGACCTGTCATTAACGTACTTCTTAACCCTACTTCGACCTACCCATGAACCTATCCTGTAGGTACCCTAAACCCTAAACCCTAAACCCCTCCAAGGGCCCTCCACTCCACGGGCTAAGAATGCCAAGCATCGACGAGCCGACGGAGATGCCTACCTTGAAACCGGGATCAACTCTAGGTTGGCCCTCTTCACAAAACCCTCTGAAATGCCCTAAACCCTAAACCCTAACTCTAAACCCTAAACCCGAAACCCCAAGCCCTAAGCCCATGCTCTTGAGCATGATCCCTCTTACACCCAAGCAGGGAATCATGCAAGAGGTCCCAAGGGCCAACCCAGATCAGGGTTGAGGGTTCGGGTCTAGAGTGTCTTTTCATAGTTGTTTTGGGGGAAGGGGGCAAGGGGGAAGGGAGGGAGACAAGGGAGGGGGGGAGGGAGGGGGGGAGGGGAGGGTGGGGGCAAGAGGGGAAGGGGTGGACCCTTTTGAACCTGGAAGCTGCTTCATGCCAGATCCACACCTAAACCCTAAACCTTTTTCTTTGAACCTGAACCCTGAAACCTGAACCCTGAACCCTAAACCCTCAACCCTACACCCTAAAAGGAAGCCTGACTCCCAAACTCAATTTGCTCACTCGGATGCCGCCAGGCCGGGCTTATCATCCATCGCGAAGCGAACGGCTCCCAGGTGCTCACCTGGGCTGTTTACGTGCATACAGATATTTGTTTGTTTTTCTACATGTTTATTTACAGTATACATATATATATATATATGTATATACATGTATGTATGTATGTATGTACGTATGTATGTATGTATGTATGTGTGTATGTATGCAGGTATGTACGCATGTCTGTATGTCTGTATGCATGTAGGTAGGTATGTATGTATGTACGTATGTATGTATGTAATGATTAATGTATGTATGCATCTTTGTATAATTTTAGGTTTATAAACAAGTAAATATATCTATGTATATATACATATATGGTTATATATGTAAGGGTTAAGGTTTAAAAGTAGGGGTTTAGGGATGTCGGGATTATGTCGGTTTTGAGGTTTAGGGGGTTCAGGGATGATCCATTTCCCACCGCCTCGACTCTTAGACTTCGACATCGGAACGCCTCCTTTGAAGCCGTGTTCTGGCTTGAGGACGCGGTGTGTCCCGAACATTATAAACCCTAAACCCTAAACACCCCACTGAATCCTAGACCTCAAGCCCTCAACCTAGTTGTGCAAGTTGCAGGCGTTTCCGGCAATGGGCAGCACCTGAGCTGTGCACAATGCATTTGGATTGAAGAAGGTTGGGAGATGTCATCGAGTGATCTGTTTCAACCCTACCTTCGCGAGCGCGCAGGCTTGCTTCTAAAGGTCCTAATGTAGATGCTACTCCCGGACCTTGCTCATGTGTAGGGTTTCGGGTTTAGAGGGCGCAAAGCTCAAGTGTGCCGGGTGCGGAGGCACGTACTTCCTAACCAAAGCTCGGGCGGGGACCCTTCTCGGTGTCACTAGTTAGAGCTCTCCGAGCGCTGCCGCATGCCAAAAGAGGGGGAGAAGGACCTTTGAAGGTTTGGAATACACGAAACCTGGCAGCCACGGGGCGATGGTGCCGAGGAAATCGACATTCATGGCACCGGTGACGCCGTTGATGGATTCGCACAGGTAGTCAGACACTATGTCCGTGATAACCTTCCCAATAGCAGGCTTCGCGATTCAACCGAATGAGCAGCCGGAGGGATGGGCCGAATGTTGCACACGACGTAGGCTACGCTAGGATGGCCCCTAAAAGCCCTCTGAAAAATCTTCCTGAATATGATCCTCTTAAAACCCAATGAGCGACAATATAACAAGGCCTACCTAGTAGGAGTGGCTTTCCTGGCGCAGTTGTACAAACCTCCGCTGATTTCAACCGTCTCGAATCATGCTCTCCTCCTAAACCCTCAACCCTGAACCCTGAACCCTGAACCCGAAACCCTAAACCCTGAACCTGCGCGTGACCGTCAAGATCCTACCGCCTGAGCCCTCCAAAACCCCTTAACGGGTCCAAACTCTGACTCCAACCTACCTAGTTTGCAAGAAAGCTCCTAATTTAGGGTTTAGGGTTTGGGGTTTCGGGTTTAGGGATTAAGGCTATTGGGGGTGAGGAGGACTCTGTTAGGGGGGGGGGGGGGGGGGGGGGGGGGGGGTGGGGGGGGTGGCTTACGGCTCAACTCAAACTTCTACCAAAGAGAGGGTTTCGGGTTCAGGGCTGGCTTAGGGCAATACCAGGGACGATGGATCAAGTCTAAACAACCCTACTGGAAAGCCATCAGCCCGAAAATAAGCTACGCCAGGGCGCAGTGACCACCACCATCATCAGCAAGGAGAGCCAAATAGCCAGAGGGGGGCGCTCCTGCTTGAGAAGCTGAAGCTGCCCAAGTGACTGTCGAGTGTTTCAGCTTTCACTTTTGCTGCGGTACAGGTCCTGCTCAACACTTCTAGAAAACAAGCCTCTCAGTTCCAGCGCATGGGGTTTATCGACAAATCATTTGATGATTGACCCTCTTTCAGTCCCCTAGACAAAGAGGAACCGACGAAAAGAGATCCCTAAATCACCCATTAACTTGTTCAACCGCACCCAATGCCAAGCCTGGGAATGCAAACGCCTCTCCCAAAACCAACTCAACCCCGTACCCAAGGAAAGGGTTTAGGGTTTAGGGTTTAGGGCCTGCACCCCTGGTAGCCCTCCGAAACCGTCTTGCGCTCTGCACACGGGTCTTTCTCCCGGGCCGTCAAGAGTGAACAACGCCCGGGAGCTTGGCACATGTCTTGAAAACCCTACATGGGTAGTTAGAATAGAAGTAACGAAACCGAGGTGACAACCTTTCATTCAGTTGCTTATTAAGCCTACTTAGAACTACTAACCCATGAACCCCCTCAAGTAGCCCTAACTAAACCCTAAATGCCCTAAATGCCTAAATCCCTAAACCCAAAAAGCCGCTGGACCCTGCCACTAGGGCCACCGAATGTTAAGGCCCCCGTCCACCCAAGCCCGCCATTGTGTAGGGGGAATCTAGAAGCCATGGCGAGTTTTCGGATTCTTAAGTCACATTTACGCAGGGTTCGGGGGAGTTTGCGGATTCTAGGTGCACATGCCGGGTTCTTAAGGTAGGGACTAAGGCCCCCTACGGTGGATGGACGAAATCTTGCACCGCCTGTACATTCGTACTTCAAACGATTGAGGCATCAAGCCCCGCACCCCCTGCTTAACATTGGCGGTTAGGACTACTTGAGCGGTGCAAGATTTCGACCATTGGAACAAATCCGGCAGTTAGCTTTTCACAGCCAATGTTAAAGCGGGGGCACGGGGAACACAAAAAGACGTGTCTGAAAAGCGGTGCAAGATTTTGTCCATCCACAGTCCCTAGATGCAAAAACACTCCTGCTCTTCAGTCCCTTTCGGCGAGTGTTGCCGGGTATGTTCTACGAGCGTGAGTGACTAGCCTTCTGAGTCGCTTTTCTGGCTTCAACGACAGTAACTTTGCTGGGATGCCGTTTTGCACTCCCAAGGTGCTTCAAATGCGTGCAAAATAACAGTCAACACTCAGTCAACACTCAGTCAACACTACAGTCAACACTACCAAAACCCTGGGAAAACCAGCAGATTCCACAATTCACTCGTTTCAAAGGAAATAATAGTTTTTTTCGCTTCTTAATGTCCAGAACAGCAAAATGCTGGATTTTCCAGCATTTTGGCAGCGTTGACTGTAGTGTTGACTGTAGTGTTGACTGAGTGTTGACTGAGTGTTGACTGTCATTTTGCATGCATTTGTTGCTTTTATAGGACATACAGCTTTTTCTAGCTTCTTCATGTCCAGAACAGCAAAACGCTAGATTCTCCAGCGCTTGGCAGTACTGACTTGACTGTAGCGTTGAGTGTAGATGGAATGAGTTGCTGCGTCGCGTGTCCCAAGCACGTCCAGGCACCGTAGAAGAGGATGGGCACGCACTATCAGCTTCCAGTTTCTGCAGGTGTGCGAAAGATGCAAAAACACTTCTGCTCTTCGGTGGATGGACGAAATCTTGCACCGCCTGTACATTCGTACTTCAAACGATTGAGGCATCAAGCCCCGCACCCCCTGCTTAACATTGGCGGTTAGGACTACTTGAGCGGTGCAAGATTTCGACCATTGGAACAAATCCGGCAGTTAGCTTTTCACAGCCAATGTTAAAGCGGGGGCACGGGGAACACAAAAAGACGTGTCTGAAAAGCGGTGCAAGATTTTGTCCATCCACAGTCCCTAGATGCAAAAACACTCCTGCTCTTCAGTCCCTTTCGGCGAGTGTTGCCGGGTATGTTCTACGAGCGTGAGTGACTAGCCTTCTGAGTCGCTTTTCTGGCTTCAACGACAGTAACTTTGCTGGGATGCCGTTTTGCACTCCCAAGGTGCTTCAAATGCGTGCAAAATAACAGTCAACACTCAGTCAACACTCAGTCAACACTACAGTCAACACTACAGTCAACACTACCAACTGGGAAAACCAGCAGATTCCACAATTCACTCGTTTCAAAGGAAAATAATAGTTTTTTTAGCTTCTTAATGTCCAGAACAGCAAAATGCTGGATTTTCCAGCATTTTGGCAGCGTTGACTGTAGTGTTGACTGTAGTGTTGACTGAGTGTTGACTGAGTGTTGACTGTCATTTTGCATGCATTTGTTGCTTTTATAGGACATACAGCTTTTTCTAGCTTCTTCATGTCCAGAACAGCAAAACGCTAGATTCTCCAGCGCTTGGCAGTACTGACTTGACTGTAGCGTTGAGTGTAGATGGAATGAGTTGCTGCGTCGCGTGTCCCAAGCACGTCCAGGCACCGTAGAAGAGGATGGGCACGCACTATCAGCTTCCAGTTTCTGCAGGTGTGCGAAAGATGCAAAAACACTTCTGCTCTTCGGTGGATGGACGAAATCTTGCACCGCCTGTACATTCGTACTTCAAACGATTGAGGCATCAAGCCCCGCACCCCCTGCTTAACATTGGCGGTTAGGACTACTTGAGCGGTGCAAGATTTCGACCATTGGAACAAATCCGGCAGTTAGCTTTTCACAGCCAATGTTAAAGCGGGGGCACGGGGAACACAAAAAGACGTGTCTGAAAAGCGGTGCAAGATTTTGTCCATCCACAGTAGGTCAGGTCCGCACAGCTATAGTTGGGAGGTAGGGTTTAGGTTTCCTAGACCCTAGAACCCTAAACCCTAAACCCGAAACCCTAAACCCTAAACCCTAAACCCTAAACCCTAAACCCTAAACCCTAAAAAGAGTTTCGGATGGGGCCTGGTCTTCCTCGGCTCCCTCATCTTTCCTTAGTGGAGGCGCAAACCCCTCACACCCGTTTGGGGTTTTTGGGGTTTAGGGTTTCGGATTTAGGTTTTAGGGTTGAAGGTCTAGGGTTTTTAGGGTTCGGGAAACGCTGCTTACAAGCTTAGAGAACTTACCGGGTAAGTAGGTTGTAAGTTGTACGTCACGCAGGAAGCTACTGCATCGTAAGTAATTGCAGTTATGCTTCAGGGAAGGTGTGATTTTGGAAGCGGGCAGGAAAGGCACCGTTCCGTTGGTCTGGAGTAACTTCAGAGTATGCTCAGGGCTTTACACTTTCATAATTTGCTTAGGGGGACGGCTTTGGGTTCAGGGCATAGGGTCTACTTAGGGCACACGCGAAAAGCCCAGCAAAGTCGCTCTGTCATCGGTCATGCGCAGGTGGCGAGACAAGCGGGCAGCGCGCCGAAGTCAACACCCAAGTCTTGGTATAGGGTTTAGGGTTCAGGGTTTAGGGTTGAGCCGGCCGCTTTCAGGTATTTCTCCCTTTTGGTCAGCAGCCATCAACCCCATGCCTGAACCTCACAGCTGTGCCAACCCACTGTCATGGGATCCTACCCTGCCCCCCACGTACGCCACGGCCCTAACACCCTGACTAGCCCCCTTCTACGCTAAACAAGGCCCAAATAAGGCATTTTCGGCTTCTCTTGGGCCGATTTTTGCGTAGGGTAAGTCTGGATGTGGGTGCGTATGTGTGTACGCGCACGAAAAAGCAGTCTGGGTGTGTAGGCCTTTGAAAAAACACATACATTACATGTAATACATAATACATACATACATACATATATATATATATGTATGTATGTATGCATGTATTTTTGCATATGTCGAGTAGTTCGGGTGGATACGTATGTTTATATATATATATACATATATACATATACACGAATACAAATAGACACACACACATATATAGATATACACTTATTTATTTATGTCATTGATACATGTTGTTCAGGGGCATGTATAGAGAATATGTCAATATGTACATAATACACATATATATATATATACACATATGCATAAATATACATAGATGATAGATAGATGAGCTAGATCAATAGATAGAAAGATAGATAGATAGATAGGTGTGGCACAGAATTCCAGAGCATCGGCCCCATCTCCACCCCATCTTGGCCAAGCCAGCTCGGATGCCCGTGGGGTTTAGGGTTTCGGCTATTTGGGTGCTTCTGACCGGAACCTGACAGGGCGGAAATGAAGGAAAGAGTCAGATCCTCCTCCTCCTGGTTCAAGGTGTGCTTGTGCGAGAAGAGCTGGAAGATGAGGAAAGCGATATACGCTGAAGCAACTAGCCTTGGCTGCAAAACTTGGTAATTAGAGGGAAGGTCGCTACCTCTGGGATGACATGTGTATAGTGTATAGTGTCTGCATGTTTGCACACATGAGTTTCGACAGTACTTGTTGTGGGAAAATAGGCTAGGACGCAGAGTAGGCCCTTATTCCCTTTTTCTTTTAGGGTTTGGGTTCCTTTAGCATCCCCTGTAAACACCCAAAAGGGCACCCTTTTTATTGCTAGGCTACCAACCCAAGGTTCCGTCAGACTCCCCACTACTCCCTAAGGCCCCCTAAGCTTCCTTAAGGCTCGCTAGGTACCCCTAAACCCTAAACCCTAAACCCTAAACCCTAAACCCTAAACCCTAAACCCTAAACCCTAAACCCTAAGCCCTAAGCCCTAAGCCCTAAGCCCTAAGCCCTAAACCCTAAACCCTAAACCTACCTCCGACTTGCAGGCTGACTTGTAACCCTACCTCCCAACTGGGCCTGACACCTTTGATTCATGGCTTCACGCCCAGAGCCCCCAAGGAAGACCCAGAAGGGGATCCTCATCCGTGAAGCCTGAAAGATAGAACCCCTGAGTCCGGGACAAAGCCCCGAATCGCGAGACGTCCAGGAGGTCTTGCGCGTCGCTCTGGTAGCCTTGCTTGGAGGTTCATGGGGGAGGTTCATGGGTAGCTATAAGTAGGGTTAGAAGTACCCCAATTAAGTGACAAAGTGTTATGATAACATGAATTGCCTTACTTGTATCCGTTTCTAACCTTACTTGTGGCTACCCATGAACCTCCAAGTGGTGTTTTCCCCCCTCTCAGACCGTCTCAAGCCTACGACAAATTGGGGTCTCGTGTCAAGTAACCTTGCTTGAAGGTGCATGGGTAGTAAGGAAAGCGACATTATAGCCTGAATTCAGGTACTTATAACCCTACTTATCACTACCCATGAACCTTCAAGTAGACCTAAACCCTAAACCCTAAACCCTATTTTCAAGGGTGTGAAGTAAGTGGGCGCATGTCTCAAGGCCCGGTGTGGCAGTAGCAACCCCTCAGCCTACAGTACCCCCTATAAACCTTCCCTAATCAGGACTGTGAGGAGAAGGGGGAACATCCCAAGTGGCATCCTTTGCAGTTTGGGGCTGGGGGTTTTCGGCTAAACCCTAAACATCCCGAAGCATCCCTGCTTGTCTTCCTTCCCCCACACCCCAAACCCTGAACCTAAACCCTAAACCCCAAACCACACCCCCAAACCCTCGCCTTCCTAAACCCCCCAAATCTCCTAACCTTCCCCCCCCCACCTCCCGGGGCTGTAACCTTCCTAAACTTCCTGAACCCCAAACCCCAAACCCCAAACCCTAAACCCTAAACCATAAACCCTAAACCCAGCAATTCGGGTCCGGAAGCCTTGTGCGAAGAGCGTGGGGAGCGCGAAGGACATGCAGCCTGGGAACAGGGCCCTGGTCTTCGACATCCCCCAAAAATTTCTGGGCTCCAGGGTTTGGGGTTTGGGGTTTCGGGTTTAAGACGGGGGATGTGGGGCTTTGGGGCTCTTACTTCCGGATTTGGCATTTTAGGGCTTAGGTACTTAGGGGATTGGTTATAGTGTTTGGGGTTTGCGGATTTAAGCTCTTTTCTTGAAGGCTCATGGGTAGGTACATACATACATCTATATGTTACAACTTCACATAGGGTACTTATAACCGTACGCCCCCAAATAGTCCTTCTAATTCGGACCCCAATAGGGGCACCCGTAATTTCGGAAGCCCCCAAATGAGATTGAGGACCCTGCAACAGTCTGAACTTATCTTCCTTACCCTAAACCCTAAACTCTAAACCCTAAACCCTAAACCCTAAACTAAGGAGTTTCTGGGGCTCTTCGGATCTATGATGCCAGAGAAGCAGAACACCAGCATACCCATGCTCATGATCACGCCCTTCATGGCGAACTTCTGCTCCTTCTCCTTGGAATTAGGGTTGAGGGTTTAGGGTTTAGGGCTACTCGCAAACAAGTAAAGTGCTGTTTGCCTTTTTGCAACATGGCAAAAAACCTCCTTGTCATGTGAAGACAACTATTCACACACGGCTTGTAGAAGTATAGCCGCATAGCCATTCGTTGTTAACGTGCTGCACACCAGGCTAAGTGACTTAATATAGGCGTCGGAATAATTACTCCTTAGGGTCCCTTTCTAATTATACTACAATAACCACCCCCAACAACCCTATTCGAATTATTCAGGCCCCTATATTAAGCCTTATTAAGCTGTCCAACAAGACATGACAAGAGGGCCACCAAGTTGAAACTTCCAGCGGTTTTCATGTTTTAGGGACTCGGCGCTTCCGCAGAACCCTCAACAAAACCTGTTCGGGGTGAGTTAGGGTTTAGGGTTTAGGGTTTAGGCCAGGGGAAATACGAAACCCTGAACATCTGAAACCCTGCACGCCAGCTCACCCCGAAATCTACCCCCAGCAAGCTGTCGGAAGAATTGCCGTGCCTTTTCTCAAAAATGTGACTTTGCGGGCACTGTTTGCCTAGCGTTCCCTCATACGTAGTCCCTTTACATAACTTATATTTATACTATCATTTCCCCCAACACCCGCTTCTAACCCAGAGGTACCCACGTCCCCCTTCACTGCCCGCGGCTCCCCAGCGACCGCGGATGTCGCTGCTTCGGACTTCACCTCGCCGAGAGGTATAGCGTTCAAGGGTTCAGGGTTTGGGGCTTTACGATTCTGTGTCAGGGTTCGAAACCTGTAGGGTTAGAGGCTCGGACAACATGAGGCGGGTGAAGTTTGGGAGCTTTGCCTTTGAAGCTCCTGGATTCTTGCAGGTCGAAGATTCATGGGCTTGGGTGCGGTAGGTTTCGGGGCACGGTTAGGACGGTTCTGGATTCTGCCAAGTTTGGCAAGTTGTCTGAGGGCGTGAGGAAAGTTGAGGATTGTACCCTAAACCCTAGACGTAAACCGAAAACCCAAAACCCTACTCCGTTTAGAGTTTCGGGGTTTAGGGTTTAGCAAGAAACCCCCGGAATGTACGGGAGATATGGGGAAGTTCGGAAATGAGGGGTCCTCTGAATGGGATTTTACTGCTTTGAGGGAGCAGAAAGAAGGCTGATCCTGCCGGGCTTCTCCCCAGGGCTCGAATATAGGTTTAGGGTTTAGGGTTTAGGGTTTAGGGCCCTAGGGTTTAGGGTCGATAGCTAGGGCATCTTATGACAAGTTCGGCAAGCATGCTTCCCCTCAGACCAAACAAAACGTCCTGAAACCAAATCGTTGCGTGGAGGCTCATGGGTAGCTATCAGTGGGGTTATAAGTAAGGAAGCCTGTATGACCTTCGTGAGGGTACCTATGACCCTAAGCCCTAAACCCTTTTTGCTTCAGGGCTCCTGTGGTAGCTTGCCTGTGAGCGAGGTTGTTCAGGTGACATCATGCGAGTCGGATGAGTTCGTCAACGACCCTGTCCTGAACCTCTTCAAACACCAGTATCTGGGATTGTTGCCCTAAACCCTAAACCCTAAACCCTAAACCCTAAACCCTAAACCCTAAACCCTAAACCCTGTAACCCTAAACCCTATAACCCTACCTATAGCTAGTCATGAACCACCAAGTGCACTCCTTCCATGGCCTGCGTCAGGCCACCGAAGAGGAAGGACATGCCCAAGACTAGCCTGAGCTCCGAACACCAGGTTAGGGTTTAGGGTTTAGGGTTTAGGGTTCAGGGTTTAGGGTTTGGGGTTTGGGGTTTAGGGTTAAGAGGCTCTTCTTGTTGAGACTGTCAGCTCTCTGCTTTGCAAAGTCTGCGGAAGAGTATAGTGACTATAGCATACCCAAACCGTCGATTGAAGCAGCGGACCAGAAGCTGGGAAGATGTCTTCGGATGGAGCCCCCCCCCCCAGCTCAACTCCTGCAACCAACGAACGCCAACATAAAGGATAGAGTAGGAATACGATTAGAACATACCTACCAGGGTCCTGATACTCCCTTGATATTCATACCGTTTTCTTTTGGTTCCCTGTTTGGGGTTACCACTAACGTCCCTGTACAAAACCTCTGGCAACTGAGAAAGCCTGAACCCCAGGTTTATACCCCTCATAAGCCCTAAACCCTCATGAACCCCTATAAACCCTAAACCCTTATAAACCCTAAACCCTCATAAACCCTTATGAACCCTAAACCCTTACAAACCCTAAACCCTAAACCCTCAACCCTAAACCCTAAACCCTAAACCCTGCCGTGAAGAGGCAGCAGGTTGGAGAGGATGGAACCGAGCAAAGTGCACTTGACTACGCTGGTGCGCTCCTCGTATGGCATCCTGACAGTCTGCGTGAAGGAGTTGGGATTTAGGGTTCAGGGTTTAGGGTCTAGGGTCTAGAGGGTTTAGGCTGAAGGTTTGGGGGAACAGGATTTCAGGTTTCGGGGGAGAGGTTCAAGTCTGATGCAAAGGGTTTGAGGTGTGTGTTGGAAGTCTTGGGGGTTCGCTGGCTTAGGTCCAGGAGGTTGGAAAATGAATGCTTGCCGTCGGAATGACACAACATGGGGCGAAACAAGCACACCAACCTCCCAGTACCCAGGCGAACCCTAAACCCTAAACCCTAAATCCAGGAAAGACACGCTCGGCTGTGCAATGACTGTGGGTCACTCACCAGCTCAACAGGCAGCAAGACCATCTTCAAAAGATACTCTTGTCATCGAAAACTATGTATAGTTGTGCTTCTTCGTCTCATATTGTCCGCACATTTGAAGAGAACAGTGAGCTTGCAAACGCTCAAAACTTACATAACTTTTACAACTTGTAAGTAAAGGACAGGCAAGAGATGCACGAACTTCCAACAGGCTTTTTTTCGCTATCGAAAACACCGTACAAACTTTAATGCTTTAGGCAAGCCACGTCCCATACTACATGAGCTAGTTAAGAGGAAAAACAGTGGCTTTGAAACGCTTTTAATACATCATGACATGTCCTAAATCACCCCGGATAACCAGACCCATGGAATGCAAGCAAACGCGCTTGAAGGTATAGGGACAAGGACAAACCCAAAGTATCCGTCCCCAGGCGCTTCCGAGATCGCAAAGTGTTGACCGTGATCATCATTTCGACCACGTTGCCTGGTTTGGAGTGGGGTTGGGAAGTGTTTTGCTTATCATTAAAAAAAGGATTACTTACAAACATATCTCAAGATTAGCCCCGGCTTTTTTGGGGGTCTTGTGAGGATCCATGTTCTGGTGCAAACAGACACTCGCGTTCACAGCCTCAACCCTAAACCCTGAAAGGTTTTGGGCAGCCAAAGCTACAGGGCTCTAAACTGACAAACCCACACCCTGCCCTGTGGGAAGCCACACGATAGGAAAAGCCAGAGCAACCAAAAACTAATATTCCTAACATATATTTCTATATACTTCTAAATATACACAGATATACATGTACATACAGAAACACTTACACTTACACTTATCTCTTTACTGAATCAATTTCTATGCATTTTAGGTTCATACTTTTCTTCGTAAATACCATTTAGGGAGCATGTTCTTTAAACAATGTCGGGGCTCCTTAAGGCAATTCCTCCGTCGCTACCAACCCTGTAAACTTGAGTGCTGAGGGCTTCTTAATTCAGGGTTGGGCTTAGGGTTTAGGGTTTAGGGTTTAGGGTTTAGGGTTTAGGGTTTAGGGTTTAGGGTTTAGGGTTTAGGGTTTAGGGTTTAGGGTTTAGGGTTTAGGGTTTAGGGTTTGGGGTGCTCCCTGTGGGTTCATCTTGAACCACCAAGGAAACTTGGGGTTTAGGGGGAGGGCTTAGGGCTTAGGGCTCAGGGCTCAGGGCTTAGGGCTTAGGGCTTAGGGCTTAGGGCTTAGGGCTTAAGGCTTAGGGCTTGGGGTTTGGGGTTTTGGGGTTTGGGGTTTGAGGTTTCAGGTTTAGGGTTTAGGGGTTTCGGGCGTCGAGCCGCCGAAGGTGGCATTCAGCATGCCGGCAACGGCGTCGTTCTTGATGGCCACCGCCAGCTCCTATTCTAGGGTTCTTAAGGGAGGGGGGGGTTCAAGGGGGGTATGTAACCCAAGGTTCCCTAATACTCCCTACTACACCCTAAGCTTCCCTAAGAACTCTATAATTCGCCAACTCGCGCGCCCAAAGAAAGCAGCCGCCCCTCTGTACCTGTTTAGGGTTTACTACTATGTGCTTAAGAACCCCCCTCCCAGCGAAAGAACACGTTCTTCCTTATCAGGGCGATGTAAGGACAATTATCTTTCATTTGCTGGGGCTGAAGCAAGAAGTTTAGGGGTTCAGGATGCAAAATAGGCTTCAGGTGTCTGGGGCTACTTGGAGTTTGGCCCCAAACCAGCGAATCCTGAAACCCCACATCCCCTGCCCCCCCTATATAAATACACATTACATATGTTGTATTTACACAATTTTGGAAGCTTCTGGTCCACATCGGGCAGCTGCACCTATCAAGAGGTAACGAGTCCTGAAAAACCATTCATAACGGCCCCCTTGTTGCCCAGCCCGTCCCATACAGGGCACGCAAAATCCGGGTTGCATGCACATAACCCTAAACCCTAACCCGTTTTCGGCTCGTTCTTTCGGGATGTTTGGGCTTTTGCACCTCTGTGGCATCGCCCAGGAACTTCGCCAAAGGCAAGAGGGCCTGTGTCAAAGTAGGGCATGGGTGCCATTCTGGCTGTCTCTGGTGCTTTGTAGGTCTCAGGGCTTTCAGGATGTGTTCAGAGTGTAAGGTTTTTGGTGCTCCCTAAACCCTAAACCCTAAACCCTAAACCCTACGTTTTCAGACTCTTGAGGATGCTTTACAGAGGATGCAGAGGACCCCTGCGACCGGACCACCACGCCGGCTCTTGATCCTTAGGGTTTTAGGGTTTTAGGATTTAGGATTAGGGTTTAAGGTTAAGGGTTTAGGGTTTCACACCCTAAAAACAGCCTTTCATGCAGTCCAAGCGTACATTACTGCCCCTTTCCTTGTTGGGAAGAGGTGCACGGGGGGGGGGGACCTTGAAATGAGGGGGACGAAAAGCCTTCAACTGTCTACTGTTCGGAGTCTATGTTTGTTCAAGCATCCCTAAACCCTAAACCCTTTTCGACATCCAGGCCTCTGAAGTCCTAAACCCTGAACCCCTAAACCCCTAAACCCCTAACCCCTAAACCCCGAAACCCCCCAACCCCTAACCCTAAACCCCGAAACCCTAAACCCCTAAACCCTCTCTCTCTCTCACAGGCGCTCAGTCCTAAACCCTAAACCCTAAAACCCTAAAACCCTAAACACACCCTCTAAGGGCGGCGCGATAAAGTTCAGCACAAAGGTCCAGGAATCGCCCCACTCGCGCTGCGCCGACATCGCGCCCAGCGGCACGAAGACAAGGAGCCTCCACAGCGGTTGAGGGTTTAGGGTTTAGGGTTTGGGGTTAGGGTTTAGGATTTGGGGTTTAGGGTTTAGGGTTTAGGGTGTAGAGTTTAGGGTTTAGGGTTTGGGGTTTAGGGTTTAGGGTGGGTTTAGGGTTTAGGGTACAGGGGTTAGGCGGGTTAGGGTGCTGCGCTCAGAACAGGGACCTCCGGAGTAATGGGCTGCTTAGGGGGGGTTACGTAGGGGAAGAAGGTTAAGGGTCCCTTGTAGAGTCCCTCCTTATCTCCCTGAAACACTTCCAGAAATCCGAGTTGCAGGCACTTTGCTACTAAGAACGAGCTCCTTTACGAGCACAATCGGCTTAAACGAAAACCCTTTGTGATTCCGCTACACCCTTTGCATCTGCGCTTGCTACACCCCAAAACCCTAAACCCTTAACCCTAAATCCTAAAACCCTAAACCCCAAAGCCCAGGAGCAGGGTGAAGGGCGAGAAGAAGATCTCTTCGAGTCCTTGGGCTTCGACACATCAAAACGACGACCGAACTCTGAACGTCCGAGGAGCGCTCCACTATTGTGGGGTTCATAACAAAAAGGGCTCATGGGGGGGTAGGTACCTCGAAAACCTGAGGGAAGCTTAGGGAGCCTTAGGGAGTAGTAGGGAACCTGGAGTTACATACCCCCCTTGAACCCCCTCGCCTAAGAACACGATAATACGAGCAACCTGGGAATAAACCGGGTGCCCTCTTGGGTTTAAAGGGGATTCTAAGGGAGCCCAAACCCGCCCTATTTTCCCACAACAAGTAATGTAGAAACTCATGTGTAAACATACAGACATTATGCACATGTCATCCCTGGTGCATCGACCATCTGTGCTGCAAGATGCCACGCAACATCTACAAGACAGTACCAGAAGATGCAACTTCCGCGGCCAACGCGCACCCAAAAAAAAAAAAACTACAAGAAGACCGGCAGGTCTTGGTGTGCCGCCTGGGGCTGCGATGCCGGGGAACCACGAAAATGGAGCTTGGAGAGTTGTTGCAGAACAGGAGCAGGCAGCACCCCACGCAACCTTCCTCCCCTTGTTGCCCAACACCTCAAAAGCTCCCACTCCCAAACCAACTCCTAACCCGGAACCTGATCCGAACACTGCCTTGCTCTGATTCAAAAGTGCTTGAGGCTGATCCGAACCCACTGATCCGAAACTTCAGCTGAATCCATTCCACCCCCCGGATGGAAACATCAGAGACCTGCCTGGAACACTTTTGATCCGTTGCAAAGCCATTTTCCTACACTGGAAGTGCCCCAGACACCAACTGTGCCAGCACGCCGCCAACCCAAGAAACCTCTAGCAACCTCTGACTGGGTGGGCCGTGAAACCCTTTTTCGTATATGGGAGTCACTGATAAAGCCACATTAGGAAAATATTCAAATATCCCAAAGGCCAACCGCTGAGATCCATGGCCAGAGATAAGGGGGTTAGGGTTTAGGCGACCACAATCTGTGGTTTGTTCCCATGGGAGTCTTCTTGGACTCTCAGCCTAAACCCTAAACCCTACATTTAGGGTTTTGGGCTAGACCCTCAACCCTAAACCCTAAGCGCCCTGTCTCTAGCCCGGCGGCCCTCCTTGTTAGAGGTCGAGGTTGACGAACCTTTCGAGAACTTTGACCCACGGGAGGGAACTCTTTCCGGATCCCGAAGTAGCGGGACCTGCCAGGGGGGGCGGGGGGGGGCATTGCTTGAAGGTTCAGGGGTAGCTGAAATTCAGCACGAATAATGCAAATAATAATAATAATGATGATGATAATAATTATAAACATAGTAAAGGATAACAATTAAGAATGATAACAAAACCTTAGTTAAGGCACTTACGGTCCTATTCAGGACTGCCCGTGAGCTTTTGTGGGGCGGAAAAACTTCCGCCCGCTTGCCCCACTTGCCCAAGAGATTTCAGCACCTGAGGGACCCGGACTTGCACATGCTCCGCGCGATGCTGGTCCATCCAAGTTGTACAAACGTCGATCTACGTGTGGACACGCTTGGCGCGGTGACAGGCATGTGACGCTGCGCGCATCCTTGCAAAGCGATGCAGGGGGGGAGGGGGGGGGGAGGGGGGGGGGGAGGGGGGAGGGGAGGGGGGGGGAGGGGGGGAGGGGAGGGGGGGGAGGGGCCGGGGGGAGGGGGCGGGGAGGCGCGGTCTACCGTGAAACATATTTGCCTTTTATGAAACGCAGGAAGGGGTGCAGGGCACCTTGCGAAGGATTTAGAAATTTGGGGTTGCAATCGCTTGTGCGGGTTTGGAGTTGGGAGTGTCAGTGTGGAGTTTTTTTTTTTGCGTTTAGAGCTTGAGGACTTTGGGCCGGAGAACTTAGCGATAGCGAACTCAGCTTAAACACCCAATCCGCCGATACCTCCTGTTCGGCCCTCAGTAATCCTTGCAACCAGAAACCTTGAAGCCTAAACCGGCTCAAAGCATCGAGGTCACCCCAAACATTAAACCCTGAACCCCAAACCCTAAACCGGCTCCATCGCGAGGGTTTGGGGTTTTGGGAACTTGGCGTGGAGCTGGACACCAAGTCTTGCGCTTACAGAACACGGGCATCGGGCTGCCAGTCCCGGGGTCTAGGGTTTAGGGTTTAGGGTTTCTGCTTTAGGTAGGGTTTCGGGTTTAAGGTGACCTCGCTGCTCTTCTCCGACTTCTCCGAGTCAAGCGGAAGGGCCGGGAACCTGAGTCATGGTTGTCGGATTCTGCTCAGCCCTAACACTTCTTTGCATCCGGACTCCTGTGGGTGTTGCCCTAAACCCTGAACCCAACAGCACTTTCAACATCTCCCCTTTGGGATCCCTGCACTGGGTGTAAGGCTTCTTGCAACCTTCAACACCCGAAACCTGAAGCCTCCAAGCCCCGAACACGGCTTTCTGCAAGGGGCTCGAATGGGCCGTTTTGGGTTTAGGGTTTATAGGGTTTAGGGTTTAAGGGTTAAGGGTTAAGGGTTAAGGGTTAAGGGTTAAGGGGTTAGGGTTTAGGGTTTAAGGTTCAGGGTTTAGGGTTTAGGGCGATGAGGGGATGATATTGATAATGATCTCGGCTCCTGCATCGAGGGGCCCGCTGCTGGTGGTTCTCAACTGCCGGCGCAACTGGTACAGCTGCTGAGGCGAGGCGGAGCTCGCATCCAGGTAGTGTGAAAACGTCATCCTCGCAGGGTTTAGGGTTTGGGGTTTAGGGTTTAGGGTTCTGGATCGCGTTGGACCCAGGAGTAGCCCAGGAATAAAAAAAGGGTACCCTATTTGATTTAAAGGGGCTGACAAGGGAACCCAAACCCCAAAACAGGAAACAAGGGCCACGGGAAGACAGGAGCCTGAACAATTGCCCCCCTCATAACTTAAAACCCCTATGCAAACAATGAAGTCACCCAAAATACCCCCTGAAACCCTAAACCCTAAACCCCATACCCATGACCGTCTTACACCCCAAACCCGAAACCCGAAACCCTAAACCCTAAACCCTTGATTCAGGGGTGCTGGGCCGCCTGGGTACCCACACTCAGCCACTGGCAGCTTCCAGCCAGCTGAGGCAGCCGGTTGGGGCCGAACCTGCCCCGACTTAGTCCGGGCCTTGTTCGAGATTTGGGTTTAGGGTTTAGGGTTTAGGGTTTAGGGTTTAGGGTTTAGGGTTTGGGGTTGAGGGTTTAGGGTTAGGGCTTAGAGCCTTGTGGAGCTGGTTACGGCCTGTAAAGGGCTTGGGGGGGGGGGTCGAAAGCTTAAAGGGCTTAGGGAGTATAGACCATAGAGCGCTTCTCGGGGTTATGCTTGTTAGTCCACGCATGAGGATGGTACCCCTCAAGCCCTTTTGCGTCCAGGCTTGGGCGTGCCGGAGAAGAGCTTATGCTGCCCGATGCAAGATGTGAATCAAAGTGCGACCTGCGTGCACGTACCCCTCATGCCCGAAACCCTCAAACTCTAAACCCGACACTCCGCCCAGGGCCGCTCCGGGTGCCAGTTGGGCTTAGATAATATAGGGGCGTTAATAAATATTAGATTGTGGTTTTTGGGAGTTACAATGGTATAATTTTATAGGGAGTACAAGGGTATACCATTTGTAACTATTCCGAATTCCGACCCCTATATTACACTCGTTTAGATTTCAGGCTCAGGGTTCCTTGCCGAGCCGGCAGGAGGCATTTTCATTTAAAAGACTATTGCCAGTAGAACTCGGTCAGCGCGCCCGGCCGAGACCCTAACGTCAGGCTTTCGGGCCCAGGGTTCCCTCAAGCCTCGGGGGCCAGAGGACCACCCGAAAAAATTGGGATCGCAAACCCTCTGCTACGATATTCCCTATGAAGGTCTGCGCACCCTGAACCTTTCCAGGGTTCATGTAACCCCAAACGCCCCCGGGGAATCCTCCAAACCGGCCTGTTGGCGGCTCCGCCCCCAAAATCTCCGGCGCCCACGCTGGAAGACGCACTGAGAACCGAAACGCTGCGGAACATCGTCCGAAGGTCAGTTCGTATGAGCTGTTGGGTTCTGGCCAGTAGCTGAATTTAGGGTTTAGGGTTTAGGTGTTGAGGGTTTAGGGTTTAGGGTGTAGGGCTAAACTCAACTACACAAAGACTACACTACAGTTACCATACCAAATGCTCTACTGTCTACGCTACAGCCGCTGCAAAAGGCTCTTTTCTAGCTATGGTGGCGCTGCGGTCTTTTGCAGCTCCAACTAGGAGGTCCGTTGACATATGCTGCCAGACGTCGTCAGCTGATCACCCAAACTCCTGAAAACCGTCGGTGTAGGAAATCGAGGGATAGCTTCGCATTACTATAGTAATTATAGGCCAGTATGGGCATCATAGGCAAGTATAGTAATTACAGTAATTACAGTCATTACAGTAATTGCAGTAATTACAGTAATTACAGTAATTACAGTAATTACAGTAAGTACAGTAAGTACAGTAATTACAGTAATTAAAGTAATTACAGTAATTACAGTAATTAAAGTAATTACAGTAATTACAGTAATTACAGCAATGTATACAGTAATTACAGTAGTTACAGAAATTACGTATGCAATTAAAATCGGCATGCCTGGCAGCAGGCATTCCTGCTGATTGAAGCGACTTCCCGGCCACTGGACTCCTCAATTTCTGAGGCCAGTTGGGTATGCCCAAAGTTTAGGCACTCTCAAGTGCTCCCAGACCTATGCTCAAAATGAAGCCCAAAATTCCCCTAGAGACATACCCAGGTGGCTTAGTCCAGGCGGCTGGGGGGATCATGAACAACTTCTCCTGGGATCCCCAACTTAGTTGCTGCGTTGGTTCTTGGGTTCACGGCTTCGGGTTGAAGCAGAAAATCCTGTGTCTAAGACTTGGACAAAGTAGAGACCTCTCTGCATGCCTCGGCACCTCAGTATGTGCTGCAGATTTTGCCCGAGGCATCACCCCCGAGGGATCCCAGCAAGACGGCTAACACAGTCGAGGGAAAATCCACACGGGAGCGTGCGGGCCGCTTGAAAAAAGGCATGAAGACACCATGCATCAAGTGTGGCTTCTCCCCGCGACTGCTTCATTGAAAGAAATGACGAAGCCTCCGATGCCAGGCAGGTTGCCTGATCTCGGAGTCCACCGTTTCATTAGCGCGCCAGCCCATCAAACAGCTGAGCCGGTGGTTCTCACCGCACCCGCACCCATCTTCACAAACCCCTAACGGCCTATTTCAGGGAGGTAGGGCTTGAGGGTTTAGGGTTTAGGGTTTAGGGTTTAGGGTTTAGGGCTTGAGGAGTGTTCAAGGTCTGAGGACTGCGGGAGGGTTTAGGGTTTAGGGTTTCGGGCTTAGAGCTTACGACCTGTTCCAACTGCGTAGCACCTGCCTAGCACTAGTAATGTAAGCCATTAAATGTTCTAACGGGAAATCTGTAGTGTCCCTAAACCCTAAACCCTAAACCCTAAACCCTACAGCCTAAACCCCAAACCCTAAACCCTAAACAACCCTGCAACCTAAAACCCATTCTTGGTGGGCTTTTCTAAGGCCCAGCCTCAAGCCTTCAAGATCAGCTGCCCAACCCTTTCAGGGCCCCACACTCTTGGCTGAGTAGGGTTTAGGGTTTAGGGCTTGGGGTTTGGGGTTTAGGAGTTTAGGGTTTAGGGTTTAGGGTTCAGAGATTTTGCGCTCCTTAGGGTTCAGGGTTTTGGGTTGAGGGCTTCTCAAGTAAAATTTCCAAGGGCCCGGTCACATTGCACGTCTATGCCCTGAAACTCATCAACCCGGCGCGGTGCCCGGCCAACTCAGTTCGCTCCCGGGGCCAGCGTCATCTCCACCTCTTTGCGTCAGATGAGAAGTGCTCTTTTTAGGGTCCTTTTTTGGGGATCCTTTTGTTACAGGGTGCCGCCTTATAATGGGTACCCAACAAAGGACTCTAATTTAGGGTAAACTACTCGGAAACTACCCAGGGAGGGGGGGGGTGGAGGGTGTTGCATGGAACTTTCCGGTGCTGGAGTCCGCTTCAGCGTGCAAGCGGATTTGGGGCTTTGGGGTTTGCGAGCGCAAGGCTGCAAGCGGCTGCCTGCATTGTTCAGGAGCTGGGCCACAAAGCAAGCAATGAGCATCAGCTGAGCATCAGCTGAGCATCAGCTGAGCATCGGCTGCCCGTGTCCTTCAGGAGCTGGGCGACATCCCTAAGGCGGCACGCTCGCACGCGGCAAAAGCGCATCCATGCTGCCAAAACAAAAAAGCTGCACAAGGCAGTGCGATGTGCGGATCGCAGGCTTATCAATGGCTTCCCAAGTCTTGATGGTCATCACTCAGGCGATTGGCTTGACCCTGCCAAGCACCTGGATCAACAGCCTCCATGAGGGCTTCTAGCGATGCCTCGTTCACAGGTTGTGTTGGCTACAGGCTAACCCTGTAACCCAAGGACAGAAATCGGGTGCTTCTGTTTCTGCATCAACAAAATCTTCATTACGGTCTAGACCCAACGCACGCACCAGTTCTGCATCACTCTAGGTATCGGTATAGTGTAATTGCCAGGCCAATGAAGCGGCAGCATAACACACTATGGCTAACGCAGGCCCGGCATCGTGTTGGCAGAAAAAAATGCACGTTCGTGGCATTTCCAGCCAATTCGAGCATCATGACGTTCAAGAGCCCGCCCCCCAAAGCGAGCATCATCAGCGTCAGCTGCCTCGGTCCTGTATCCCTCGAAGCGAGCATCGTGAGCATCAGCTGCCACAAAGCGAGCACATCAGCTGCCTGGGTCCGCCTTTGTCCTTGCCCTACAGTGAGCATCATGAGCATCAGCTGCCTGCATCCCCAAAGCGAGCATCATGACTACAGGGAGCATCATGAGCTTCAGAAACTGGTCCCTAGACATCAGGAGCATCAGCTGCCTGTATCCTTTGAGAGCCAGGCCCCCAAAGAGTGCATCATGAGCATCAGCTGCCTGCATCCTTCAAGAGCCGGGCCCCCAAACAGAGCTGCCTGCATCCTTTAAGAGCCGGGCCCCCAAAGAGAGCATCATGAGCATCAGCTGCCTGCATCCTTTAAGAGCCCGGCCCCCAAAGAGAGCATCATGACCATCAGCTGCCTGCATCCTTTAAGAGCCCGGCCCCCAAACAGAGCATCATGAGCATCAGCTGTCTGCATCCTTAAGAGCCAGGCCCCCAAACAGAGCATCATGAGCATCAGCTGCCTGCATCCTTTAAGAGCCCGGCCCCCAAAGAGAGCATCATGAGCATCAGCTGCCTGCATCCTTTACCAAAAAAACCCTAAACCCTAAACCCTTAAGCCCTTAAACCCGATCCGGTATCTTTCAAGAGCCAGGCGGCGCGGAGGCACACGCTACCCAAAGCTTGGGCACACCGAACGGGTTTAGGGTTTAGGGTTTGGGGTTTAGGGTTTAGGGTTTAGGGTTTAGGCTCCCTCCACCGATGCGCCTTGAAGCTCGACATGTCCGGCTGCTGGAACGAGACCGGCGCAGCCTCGCACCCGAGAGGTGTGTTTTTTTTTGTTTTGGGGGCTTAGGGTTTAGGATTTGGGGTTTGGGGCTTGGGGTTTAGGATTTGAGGTTTGGGGGTGTGGCGGTGGAGGGGGGCGGGGAGTGGGGAGGGTGGGGTAGGAGAAGGTTGGCATGAAACGTGCACAGCAACAGTAGTACCGGGTAATCATAAAAGTGATGAAGATTCTCATACTCGTAGTAATAGAACTACTGGAAAGCATTCTCTGGCCGCGGACATCTCAAGGAGGGAGACAGGGGGTAGTGCGGGAAGGTGATAGTTCTAGCTGAAAACGAACTGCTCTTTTCTCCTCCCACATTGTCAATGAAGGAAGCTCAAGAGCTTGTCGCCGATGACACGCATCATGGTCTGCGGAACCGCGACCAAGACCACGCCATCGTCACGGAAGAGCGCCATACCAGTCCTGCACATGAAAGTGGGTGTCATGATGGCAGCCGGCATCGTCAGCACATGTCCACGTCATTCACGACCTGTTTCAAGTATCCAGGGTCCCTAAATCCTAGACTCTCTAGCTCTGATCCGGGACCATCCAGGGCCCATATCCCGCGAGAGGCAAGGCCCCCCTACCCAATTGGACCTATTGAATTAGAAGAAGCACTTCGGGTGGGGCATTGCGAGGGCCGACGCTGTTTGGTATGTTGGCTTAGGCAGAATGTCCTCGCTTCGGTGACGGTCGCCTGGAAACGCCAGTGTGGAGCCTGTCATTCACTGATCAACAAAGGTCACGGGCAGGGAAAACCCTAAACCCTAAACCCCAAAGGGGCGGAGCAAAAATCTTTGGGAGTCACGCACCCCAAACCCTAAACTCTAAACCCTGAACCTCTCAAAAAACAAGGCTGTTGGGTTGGGGGCTAGGCGCTGCAAGCTTTTGGAGATTACCGGGGGTTGGCGTTGCGAGGGCCTTCCGAAGCCAGAGTGAGCTGGACCTTGTTTGCAGCTACATACAGGGTTTAGGGTTTGGGGTTTGGGGTTTGGGGTTTAGGACGGTTTAGGGTTTAGGGTTTGGGGTTTGGGGCTTGGGGTTTGGGGTTAAGGGTTTTACTCTTCATCAGAAGGGCTCCAACTCAAGAACGTGCTGGCTGGGGGCGACGCGTTGTAGCACTTCGGGCATTTCAGACACACTTCCAGGCAACCCCTTCTTTCCCTCAAACGCCTAAAGCCCCAAACCGAAACCCTGAAGCCACAAAAATCCGAACCCCCCTCAACACCCCTCCCCTCCAGCCCTCAAGCCCCCAAAACCCCAAACCAGCGCCCGAGACCCTAAACCCTAAACCCTAAACCCTAAACCCTAGACGCCTCCGTGAGCTGAAGCACCAGCACCTCCTGCCCCTCGGCCTCCTCGTGCACAGAACCCCCCCCCAGGCCTGCTTGAAGGCTCATCGTACTGAAGTTCATAAAAGAAGCTACCTTAATATAGTACTACGAGTGATTCATAGTACTATGGTAGATATATATGTATATATATATAGGTTCTTTGGGTGTTATTTCGGGGCTACTTAGGTATATGGGGACTGTTTAAGGTATACATTCGGGGTTAGACCAGGGGTCCCTCCTTGTACCCCTGAAGGGTAAGAGGGGCTGGGTGAGGCCTCGAAACCGTCATCGACTTTGGACTCCTGTCATCGATTTTGGACTCCTGGCTCGCGAAATGCGAGATTGTCGTCGCTTTTGGACGTCTGGCTCGCGAAATGCGCAACTGTTGTTGCTTGTGGACTTCTGGACCCACATGGTCTCCCCACACGGTCGCACACGGTCTCTCACTGCTTGGGGTCTAGCCTAGACTAATCTTGCCACATCATGTTAGATTATGCTGCACTATGGCAATCACTAGCAGTACTCAGTGCTCTTCCTTCGTCCCCTAAGCCCCGAACCTTGTTGTCACCCTTTTTTCCTAAACCCAAGAACCACCTAAACCCCAAACCCTAAATTCTGGTTGAACTCCTGAAACCTACATGCCCAAACTCTCTCTCTCTCTCTCTCAGGTACTCGAAGCGTCAGACCTGTTTGCAGCAGGACGTGGTACATTGAGCATCCCGCTTGCACACCCTTTCGAACCCGTGCTGAGGCCGAGGCACCCTAATCCCTGAATCCTAAACGCCTCAACCCGAAACCCTAAACCCCAAACCCTAAACCCTAAAACCCAAAACCCCAAACCCTAAACCCAAAACCCTAAACCCTAAACCCTACCCTTCTCTTCACCCGCCAGAGAGGGGGGCGTCCTGGGCCGTCAGCTGTCGCCACTCCATGGGGCCGTATGAGCTGCTGGCCTCGCAGCATTCAAGGGCTTTAGGGTTTAGGGTCTAGGGTTTAAGGTTTAGGGCCATGGGTAGTCTTCAGTAGGGCTAGAAGTGAGGTAACCTATATTCTAACCTCAATTGGTGTACTTATATCCCTACTTATAGCTACCCATAAACCCCCTCAGAGTAGAAAGGTTGAGGGTTTAGGGTGTCTAGAGTTCACATACATGACCCCCAATAACTCGTGCAGGGTATTGGGCTATTGGGGGGCTCTAGAAAGGGAGCACTTCGCCCACGAAAGCATACTGTGCGACTTGCCTAGTGCAAGCCGCATGAACAAGGACCGCAGAGTTTCACCCCAAAGTTTTATTTTGAGTTTTGGTTTCGGGGGACCAGCAAAAATGAGCACTAAAGCCGCAATGAACAAGGTACAGATTCACACCGCATACCCGAATATCTATCATCGCTATCACAACCACGACAGGGGGCTAATCATACTGCTGCTACCCAAATCGACGTATTCAATCTTATAGAAGCATAATTACCAACCCTGGTCTTTTGTGGCTCAATCGGCTGTCAGAACTTTGGTTCCCGCGAAGATGCTTTTTGTCTCCAGGATTTTTCAGAAGATGGCCCAGCAAAACAAACCCAAATAACCCGAGGCGCCTAGCATAACCCGAGGCCCCTAGCCCCAAAATAACACCAGGCCCTTACACAGCCCAAAAAAGCCCAAAACCCTGAACCCCCAAGCCCGAAAATTTCTGCGGAAGGGATGCAGCACTAGACCCCTAAAACAACCCCCGCACCACCCCCCTCTCCCAAAAAAACAAACTCATAAATAAACAGACCCTTAAATTAGGCCCTAAAAAGCCCTAGAAAACTATTCGAAATAATTGATATCTGAGTTGTGCCTTAAACCCTTTGAAAAATATTTTTCATAATTTCCTTTATAAGTAGAAGGGAAGTGGAAGTAAAATAAACATCCCAAAGCACGACCCAGAGAAGGAACCTTACGTAGCTTGGGCCAACCTCATGGGGCTTGTCCAGGCTGATCAAGCCGTGGGGCCTGGGTGTTGCACGGCGCTTCAGGGCATTTTAGGGGCTTAGGGTCTAGGGCCTTGAAGGATTTAGGGTTTAGGATTTAGGGGTTCAGGGTTTAGGGGTTTAGGGTTTAGGGGTTTAGGGGTTTAGGGTTTAGGGGTTTAGGATATAGGGGTTTAGGGCTTGGGTGGGTTAGGGTTGGTTTAGGGTTTTGGGTTTTGGGGGGGTTTAGGGTTTAGGGCTTTGGGGGTTTAGGTTTAGGGTTTAGGGCATTGGGGGTTTAGGGTCTATGTCTTGGGGGGGGGGGGGGTTCGGGTTTAGGGTTTAGGGCTTTCGGGGGGGCGGGGTTGGGTTTAGGGCTTTTTGGGTTGAGTGTTTTGGCTTTAGGGCTTTGGGGGGTTCAGGAAAGGTTCGGAGGTTTTGAGGGTGTGGGTTTGCAAGTTGAACGACGCTTACGGCTTAGAGGGTTTAAAGAAGGGGCTTGGGGCTTTGGTTTAGGAAGGTTTTTCCGGTCTGGGTTTAGGATCTTGGGTTGTTCAAGGGTTTCTCAAGGTGACTGCTACGTTTGGGGTTCAGGGCTGGCCTGAGGTTCAGGAGAGTGTCGGGTTGACAGTTTCGGGGTTTAGGGTTTAGGGTTTGTCCCTGCCAGGAAGGGGCGAAGAGGGCCTCTTAGCTTCTCCAGGTAGGCTGGAGCGCCAGAACCCTCCCCTGAAAAAAATCCGGGCGTCAGGGCTTTGACTTTTGGGAGCGGGAGAGGGAGAGGGAGAGGGAGAGGGAGAGGCGAGGGAGAGGGAGAGGGAGAGACCGCGAGAGGGAGCTTTCTGTCAAGGGTTCACCATCGGTACGAAAAACTGCGTATGGGATTTTGCAGTATTCTGAGTCAGAACTGGGAAGGCAACTGTGAAGACGTTGGATGCTGAAGACTGTAGACAAACGGCTTCATGAAAACATGATCAACCTGAAACTGTCTGCCAAGGGGCGTGAAGTACCCCGTGGTGAAAACCTTTCTTGCTGCAAGGGGAAGTACGGGAACCCCAACACTAATTAAAGCCTAAACCTATCTGCCTGGATGAGTCGTACCCGTTCTCTTGAACAAGACCAGACACAACGAACTTACGAACTGACAAACCCGAAAACTTAAACCCTAAACCCTAAACCCTAAACCCTAAACCCGAAACCCGAAACCCTAAACCCTAAACCCTAAACCCTAAACCCTAAACCCTAAACTGCAACTGCTCTCCAGCTCTCTGGGTTGGGCCCTCCGAAAGAACCCAAGCGCCTGCCGAGATCTCCTGGCGCCCAATACATCCCGCAACATCAGCTGATCACTTCTTAGTGCCACTCTTAGTGCCACTCCGCAGGGACGAGTCGAGGACAGGTTTTTTCTTGTTTTTTCTGATTGTTTTTTGGTGGTGGGGGGGGGGGGGGTGGGGAAGCACACAAAGTAGACCGAAACGCACGTGCACGTAGTTCTGCTGACTATGTTAGCACATGCGTGCAAATCATGAAACCTAAAACCCAAAACCCTGAACCCTAACCCTAAACCCTGAACCCGGGTCCAAGCAGCCCCCGCCGGGTACACCACCCAGGAGGATCCCAGCATCGAGCTTTCCAGGCTGGGCTGCTCTGCCGGTGCTTGGGGCAAAGGCTCCAACCTCAAGAAGCGGAAGCGGGGGGGGGGGGGGGGGTGTCAGGGTTTGGGGGCTTTTTTGCTTGGTTTTTCTTTTTTTGCAGGGGGGGGGAGGGGGGTTGGGGTCTAGGTTTAGGGTTCTCCAAACCAACAACCGTCCGCCCCCGAGAACTGGAGTCAGCACTTACTTAGCAACCCAAAAAGCAAAAGGATCCTGTGCAAAAAAAAAAGTACGATATGACAATCAGAAGGTCACTGTCAATGGTCAAGGAGGGGGGAGGGGTTACACAAGGCACAGATCAAACCCTAAACCTGTTCTTTCTCCTCATCCTGGCCTGTTACACCCCTAAACCCTGCACTGTAAACCCCTCAAACGGCACAGTCGCCGTGCCCCCACTCCCATAGAGCCCTAGGTGTCTTAAACCCTAGACCCTAAACCCTCATCACTAAACCTAAACCCGAACCGTACTTAAACCCTAAACCCTGACCCAAGGTGGTAATGGGGCTGAGCCTTCATAGAGGTTTTGTCAGGGTTTCATGGCTTTGTGTTTGGGGCTCTGCGGCAGGGAGAAGCCCTAAGTACTAAGCAGGCGTCGGCTTCTGCAAGGGAAGGAACGTCAAGAACTTCTACTTGAAGGTTCATGTGTAGTTCTAAGCAGTGTTCTAAGCTGTATTGTCACCTTAGTCGGGGCACTTAAAACCCTACTTATAACTACCCAGGAACCTTCAAGTAGGTTTTGGGATCATCCCAGGCCGAGCCGCACAATGCCCTCCCAGTCGCTGATGCGGCTCCCGTCATACGACCATGGCGGAGCCCGGCCGATGAAGGACCGGACCTTTACCTCGCGGACGGCAGGTTAGGATCTTCCCCCTTGTGCTAACAGCTTTCTAGGGATTATTATTGTAGGGGGGTACGAGAATCCCTACTAAGTGAGTATAAGGGGAGTAATAGTAGGGGGTACTAGAATCCCCATTAAGGACTGTTAGAAAAAGGGGGAACATCCCAAACGGCAGGGCTGAAGGTCTTGTTGCCACCCGGGGCCTGGAAGGTATAGGTTTAGGGTTTAGGGTCTAGGACCTGAAAGGCTTGAGGTCCACGTAACCCCTCAATAGGGTTTAGGGTTTAGGGTTTAGGGTTTAGGGTTTAGGGTTTAGGGTTTAGGGTTTAGGGTTTAGGGTTTACGGTTTAGGGTTTAGGGTTTAGGGTTTAGGGTTTAGGGCTAGAGCATTGGGCATATGGTCCTGACCGAGCTCGTTTTCGTTTCCAAGGCACCAAACCAGCCGCTACGGCCTCGTCGACCGCCCTATGGACCCCGGCAGTGGTTCCATAGTCATCCAGCACGATGGTCCGCACCTCAGGGGCTGAGTACCCTAGCCCAAAAAAAGGTTAACCTCTTGAACTATAGTAGGAGTATAGAAGGTTTAAAAGGGTTATATAGAGGTTACCTACTCAGCTGCTAAGGTACATCCTGTTGAACTATACTAGGATTATAGAAGCCCCAAAAGGTTAAAGGTTACCTACTCAGCTGCTAAGGTACATGAGGCAGAGCAAGGGTGCGTTGGAGGTCGCTGCGCACGCTGCCGTAGTCATGCGCGGCGTCGATGAAAACTGCATGGATGGGCGTGTTGGAAAACAAGCCCCAGTCCTCGTTCATTGTTGGGATAATATCAAAAATGTGCTTTGGTATTCCTTGTTGGGTTTAAGTACTCTTAAAGATGCAAAAATGTTTCTCAACTATGACAAAGAGTCGTCCATGACGCTGTGGAACTTGAGATACACCACGTTCCGCAAGTCCTCGTTGCGGGCCGCGTTGCTCTTCAGAACTTGCGCAGAGTTCTCCAGGGCGAGGACCGTCCCAAACAGCCTCGACAGGACACGGGTACAGTGCCCGAGATGCGCGCCAACTTCCAGCACCGTTTCGTTGCGCGAGCTGTTGAACAAACTGACCAAGTCGATCTTGAATTGCGAGGAGGTTGTCCAAGCGTCCACATTCTTGTCGTGGAGCACCTGCACGCAGGACTTCTAGGAGTCACCGAAGGCCCCCAGAACAAATGATCTGCAAAAAGTTGATGCCCCTCAACTCCGAGCGAACCCTGCCAAACCCTAAACAAAACCTAAAAATCTCAACCCCAAACCAACTTAAACTTGAAGGTTCGTGGGCACTTCTAAGCTTTCCTAGAAGTACCTCAATATGACCAAACTTACAACTGCCCATGAACCTTCAAGAACCCCTCTTCTGGGAACCCTTTTGCCCTTTTGAGCAACGGACTTTGGAGGCTGCCGGCAAACATGCAACTTCTTAGAAGTCATATCACGCTTTTGCCCTAAACCCTAAGCCTAAACCCTAAACCCTAAATCCTAAACCCTAAATCCCAAACCCTAAACCAACCCCTCTTCTGGGGCGCGCACATCTTCAGCGAGCCTCGGAGTACGATTCGGTGGGCTTAGGAGCGCTACAGAAACGGAGGCCCCAAGCTCTAAGTACCCTAAACCCTAAACCCTAAACCCTAAACCCTAAACCCTAAACCCTAAACCCTAAACCCTAAACCCTAAACCCTGCCGGCGAGGAGCTGGGAGTCGGCGGAGCTAGCCCAGGCAGAGGCAACCAGGGCAGGTAGCAGCCATGGCTTCATCCGAGGATGGTGGCAGTCTCAGAACCCTAGGTTTAGGGTTTGTTTTTGGGGGGTTTAGGGTTCAAGGTGTAAGGTTCAGGGTGCAGGGTTTAGTGTTTTGGGGGTTTCGGGTTTAGGGTTTGGGGTTTGGGGGGTTAGGGTTTAAGGGCCTAGAAAATCATGCTTCTAGATATTCCCGAGGGTTGAGTATCAACTACAACCACCTTGGTCAGTTTGGAACCCAGGCCCCCTTTTGGATTTTGCGGTCCGTCATATTTGGACTTGGGCATGGGGCTCACGGGTCACTCTGTCTCAAGCTCGCACATGTGTCCCAAGATATTTCAAGACCCCGCGAAGATCTGCTGAGTGGGATCAGGCAGGGCACCGTACATTGGTTTAGGGCACCCCCTGTGCCTTTTTTCCCGTAAACGTTTCCTCACCTGAAAGTGTCCTCATGCGAGGGCCGGGCCGGCGTAATACCGCGCGTGCACTTCCCGTTTTTTACTTGAAAAAGGTCCATGGGTAGCTATACGTAGGGTAATAAGTCCTAATATATATATATATATATATATATATATATATATATATATCTATATCTGTGTGTTATATACATATATATATACATGTGTGTGTGCCATAAATGATATACTTGCAACCCTACTTCTAGCCACCCAACCTTGAAATAGGCTCTTGCTGTCACCCCCCTCCGCCCGCGGAAAGAATCGAAAAACTAAGGCTCTCGGAGAATGGGGCCCCTGCAAAAAGGAACTTATGGCTTAGGGCTTAGTGCGCTGGCTGTAAACCCTTTGAAGCCCAAACCCTCAACAACCTGATCACTCAAAAATCCGAAAGCCCTACGTGGAAAGCCCGGGGGCGGTTTGGGGTTTAGGATTTAAGGTTTAAGATGGCCTGCCAGGACGTGTGGACCGCATACCACCCACCCGGCACAGTGGAGGATGGGGCGAATGCCTTCGCAGCGTTTAGGGCTTAGGGCTTAGGGCTTAGGGCTTAGGGTTCAAAGCTTAGGGCTCAAAGTTTGGGGCTTAGGGCTTCGGGTAAAAAATCTGTCCTCAACAATGGCAGCAGAGCTCTGTTCAGAGATAGGCCAGCCACTGCAACTCTTTCTCGCAGGCTTAGGACCTTTGTGACGGCATATATGGCTCCGTGTCCCGTGTCGGTACCCCCCCCCCCCCCACCCCCCCTAAACCTTAAACCCTAAACCCCTAAACCCTCAACCCTAAACCCTCAACCCAAACCCCAACCACACCACAGGGGGGCCCAAGCCACAGGGGGGAGGGGCGGGGGCCCTAAACCCTAAACCCTAAACCCTAAACCCTAAACCCTAAACCCTAAACCCTAAACCCTAAACCCTAAACCCTAAACCCTAAACCCTAAACTCAACCCAAACCCCAACCACACCACCCCACAGGGGGGGCCATTGGGGGGGGGGGACCAAGGGGGAGGGGGGGACCAATATATTGGCCCTTCTCTTAGCCTGGCAGAGGTGTGGGGTTCAAGGTTAAGGGCCAGCAAGGTCTGTCTCTGTCTGTCTGTCTGCTGTCTCTGTCTGTCTCTGTCTGTGTTTGTGTGTCTGTGCGTCTGCGTCTCTGTGTCTCTGGGTGTGTGTCTGTATGTGTCTGTATGTGTGTCTGTGTGTCTGTGGTCTGTGTGTCTGTGCTATTTCAAGCAAGTTGCAGCAAGTTGCCTTTAGATCGGAAATAAGGGGGTCTCTCTGAGGGGGCCTCGTTTGCAGTAGATGTCTCGTAGTTTAGAGTTCAGGGCGCCGTTTACGGAAAAGAAAAAAAAACCTTCCCCACTCTTCCGATGTTTACTCCCTAAACCCTAAACCCTAAACCCTAAACCCCCATGCGCTGAGCCCCACGCCACGCGTGGGGGATCCTGGTACCAACCTGGAACTGGCAAGTAGCAACTCTGGGGCCCGTGGTGTGAGGGGGTTTAGAGTTTAGGGTGTAGGGTTTAGGGTTTAGGGTTTGGGGTGTAGGGTTTAGGGTTTAGGGTTTAGGGTGGGCTTCGGGCCGTAGGGCCAAAGACTTTCGGGCTTAGAACTTGTAGGAAGCATGGGGTTGAAGGTGAAAATCACCATAAAATGACTAGACCCAGGGGTCACCTTTGAATAAAAAGGGTACCCTCTTTGGTCTTAAAAATGCAAAATGTTACCCAACTATGACGTAGTTGAAGGGAACCCCAACCCTAAAAAAAGGAAACAAGGGCCTACTCCGGGTCCTAGATGACATAATCCGGTCCGCCCAATGTGACAGATAGCTTGACAAAGTCGGAACACCATGGAACGCGTGCCCGGATTCGGAACTCTCTCCTCCAACACCCCACGCGGCAAACCTTCACATCATATGCCTGGCCAAACAAACACATGACATGTCATCATGTCTGGCGCCACTCCTCTTAAGTACTGTTGGTTTGCAGGGAATGGGGGAATGAGGTACCCTCCATAATCCTGTAAAGGTTATATATAGGGCCCTCATTCCCTCATTCCCTGCTAACCAGCAGTAAGTCCTGCTGGCACCAGCTCATGCTCGTCGATGATGGCATTCAGCCTGCTCCTCTTACTTTCAGACTCCACGGCCTCCATGATAGCTTAGGGTTTAGGGTTTAGGGTTTAGGGTTTAGGGTTTAGGGTTTAGGGTTTAGGGTTTAGGGTTTAGGGTTTAGGGTTAGTTTGGAATGTTCCCCCTTCTACTAACAGTCCTTTATAGGGATGAAAATAGGTGATACTATAATCCCAACCCTGCTGATATAAGGGGGAACATCCCAAATGATGGTAGTTGATTCGAAGCTGCCAAACTTTCGAGCCAATCACTCCCACATGCGGGGGCTCCGAAAGCAGTGGATGTCTGGCTAGTATCCCCAAAAGGACACCCTATACACTCACCAATAGAAGGGACCTTCTATACACTCACCAAATGACAGTGATATGCACCCGGTTTCACGTGGGGTGGCGCTTGCTAAGGGCAGTCTACGGCATTTGGGGTACAAGGGCGGACCCTGACTTTTGGAAACTCCCAACTTTTGATCCCAAAACCCCACACCCGAAACCAAAATATCCCCGCAGCTCCCAGTTTGAAACCCCAAACCCTAAACCCCTAAACCCTGTTTTTTGCTTCGCCTCTGAGGATCGAAGCCAATTCTGAATACCCTAAACCCCAAACCCGAAACCCCAAACCCTAAACCCCAAACCCCAAACCCCAAACCCTAAACCCTAAACCCCAAACCCTAAACCCTGAAAGATGGAAGTAACAGCTCAACTGCGCACCTGGGTCCACGTAGCCGGGTGGAGAGGGCCAGACCTGGTTGCCCAGGTCGGGAGCCGCCTCAGGGTTTGGGGTTTAGGGTTTGGGGTTTAGGGTTTAGGGTTTAGGGTTTGGGGTTTAGGGTTTAGGGTTTGGGTTTGGGGTTTAGGGTTTAGGGTTTAGGGTTTAGGGTTTAGGGTTTAGGGGCTTTGTGTGTGTGTTTTGATTTGCCAGAGGTTGGGGTGTTGGGCTTGGGTTCTCTCACTTTCGCACCGGACAGGCTGCGGGTCCCCTCCGACTAGAAGGTGGGGGTGGGGGCGGTGGGGGCGGGGGGTTCTGAAGCTCATGGGTAGTTAGAAGTAGAGTCATGAGTACCTCAATGAAGGGTTAGGAGAGAGGTTACTTTACCTTGCAACCCTACATATATATATATATATAACTAGCCATGAAGCTTCAAGTAGGGCACTGGCAAGCTCTCTTCTGAATCCAGGAAAAAACCCTGAGAAAGCTCTCCAGGGCCCCTTTTGCATCCTAAAACCTAACCTAAGATGGCCCTTCAAACCCTCTGAAAAATATTCCTAAATATGGTCCTCTCAAACCCAATAAGGGAAAATATAAAATATCCCAAGGGCCTACCTAGTAACCCTAGACCCTAAACCCTAAACTCGAAACCCTACTATCCAACGGCACGATGCCAGCTAACAAGAGCCGGAACCATCGAGGCGAGCCCGATGATTCAGGGAGCCAGCAGCACTCGCTGCCTAGTGCAGCCAACCAAGCGACGCTCACCCGGGTTCAGGGTTTAGGGTTTAGGGAATTCAGACTCTTTTCTCTTCTCCTTGCGGCTGTGCAGGCTTTCTACGCCATAGGCACTTGGCCTTGAAACGAATGGAACGAGCTCTCGAGCCCTCTGGCATGGTAGGAACTCTGTCGAGCTGCTGCGGCCCAGAACGTGGGTGTGAGGCATATGGCTACAGCAGTGATCGGGCGAGTAGCTAAGGTCACGCGGTGGGCACAGCATATCTGGGCGTTACTATGGCTGCAAGAACCAGCGGCCAAAAGAATTTGCAAACAAGTTGGGCTTGGGCATCTTCTGCGCATGCCCACGAGCGCGAAGGCCCCCATAGGAGGCCGCAAAATGTAGGGCAGCCAATGCTCCCCTAAAGGTCAGCGCTCCAAAACCACTTGCGGGAGGGGCCTTCTCCTCAACTTCAAATCTTACACTTTCTAGGTGACAACGAGACCCTGCGAACTACTGTTACTGTGCCTAGGCCCCACAGCCCCTCACCTCCTGGCGCCGGCACGGCTACTGTGCGGGCCATGCAGGCATGGAAAATAGCCGAACCTCTCAGCCTCGAGCAGCAAAGCTTCAGATCTTCGCATCCGGGCCCTGAGCCAAGCGGGTGATGATACCATTGAACGTGGCACTGGGATTCATGGCCACATCCGCCTTGGCCTTGTCCACGTGGTAGTAGCCGCCGATGTCCACCGCCTTTCCCTGGCAGTCAATCATGTCTGCCAGGATGGCAGCTTCCTTCGCCTTGAGCTGTTCGGCCGCGTCCGAGAAGATGGCCTTGAGGTGCTTCTCGTCGCTCTGAGTGGCCAACTCCTCCGCCCAGTATCGAGCTACCCAGTAATGGCTCCCACGGTTGTCGATCTCTTTGACCTTGCGGGAAGGGTTCTTGTTGGCGTCCAGGAAGCGGCCAACGGCGCGGCTGAGCGCTGCAGCTAGCGCCGAGGCTGCCTTGTTGCCAG